TCTAACTCTCTATCCCTCTCCCTTCCTCTCTGTAAGAAATCAATAAAATATATTTTTTTTAAAAAAAAGCAGATATAAAATTCAGAATGAGTAATGTTTTTTAGGACACATCTTTTAACATATAAGATTGAGCCCTGGCTGGTGTGGCTCACTTGGTTGAGCGTTGTCCCATGCACAAAAAGGTTGCCAGTTAGATTCTGGTTGGGGCACATCCCTGGCTTGTGTTTCGCTCACACTGATTTTTGTTTTCCTCTCTCCCCCTTTCCCTTCATGTATCTCTAAAAGTAAATTTAAAAATCTTAGAAAAAAATATATACACATATATATTTAAGATTGAGGTATTGCTAAAAATTGAAACTCCTGAGCAATGGAAAAAGGAAATAGAAGGAAAAGAGGTTAGAATATGTTTTGTTTTGCCCTAGTTGGATTGGCTTAGTGGCTCAGTGGTTGTAGGCTCCTCCCCGGCCTGGGCCCTGGTAAGATCACTCTCTCTAAAAATCAGTGGAAAAATATCCTCAGATAAGGATCGAAGATGAAATAAAGAAAAATTAAAAAAAATTTTTTTTTCCAGCTTGATAACAGAGAAGGGGTGGAGACAGGGAAGTAGCAGCATTAGATTAGTTTGTAAGAACTGACAGTCATAACAGAAACAGTGTCAAGATTTAAGTGTCAACATTTTCTCTTTTCCTTCTAACAAAATATCCTGGAGAAATTAGCAGCAAAGATAGTTTCCTATTAGATGCAACATATACCCATAATCTTGAAAGGTCTAGAAAGCAATATCCACCAAACAAATAGAAAATACAACAGCAACCAGAGACAGAGGACTGAGCCAAGAATTTCCCTGACTTAATGTCAGAGGGTTGCTAGATGCTTCACACCAACATCTGAAAATAATGGAAAGGGGTTTCGACTTACTCTCTCTAGGGGCAGGTCCTTTGAACTGACTTCTGATGGGCAACAGTGCCATGTTTCCAATGAGTTTGGTGTCGGGGTCCATGAGAGAAGAGTGGTAAGCCTGTAGTGGCAAGCCAGATAAGAATACAGAAACAGAAGCAGAACAAGTGTCAGCAGCACAAACAAGTACATTTCTCCAAAGGAAAAAAAAGAGTAACCCACCCAAGATTAACTAGGGGTGCCCTGACCGGTTTGGCTCAGTGGATAGAGTGTCGGCCTGTGGACTGAAGTGTCCCAGGTTCGATTCCGGTCAAGGGCATGTACCGTGGTTGCGGGCACATCCCCAGTAGGGGGTGTGCAGGAGGCATCTGATCGATGCTTCTCTCTCATCAATGTTTCTAACTCTCTAGCCCTCTCCCTTCCTCTCTGTAAAAAAATCAATAAAATATATTTTTTAAAAAAAGATTAACTAGGGCGTGTGGCAGAGGGGAGGGTGGCAACAATATGCAGAGCTGGCTCTTACTGGCTCATGAAAACCAACTGTTACCTTTTTAGGAATTTTCAAAAATTAAAATATATAAATTTGCAATAAATTATATTAAAAACAAAGGTAATAAAGATTCAAAATGCATTACTCCTTATTTTTAAAAATTATTTTACTGTTGCCCATGATCTTAAAGTTATTTATGTCTTTTGTATCTTGATGGCAGAAATAGCACTACCAGTACATAATGAATGGGGTGCTACTGTGCATCTCTTTCCATTTTACATTCAGTGACATCACACTGGCAACTGGTGGGAATAGTTACACTGCAGAAATAGGCAAACATTATATAAACCAGGAGAACCCACCCATCAGCTGTGGTTAAGCCAGAACCCAAGCACTAGTTTTTCTGTTCTGCCACTTCCTAGCTTTATATCTTTGACCAAGACATCACTTTTCTTAGCCTGTTCCCAAATTTGTATAATGAGGAAATATATACTGCCTTCGGTGGGGAGGTGTGAGTTAAAGGATGAAGGGGGAAATCACATTTATGAGAGCAATGTGTATATGATTCCTAGTTCTGCCTTTTACAAAATGTCTGGCTTTTTGTAAGACAACACGGGCCCCATTCATGTATTCATTCATTCACCAACTGATTACTAAGCACCTTCTAAAGGCAAGGCTTGGTCATTTACAAGCATGCAAGGCCAGTATGGTCTCTATCCTTGAAGAACTTTCAGGCTAATGGAGAAGACAGATATTAATTGAGTAATATCAAGATATTAAATAAGTGCTTGGTGTCCAACTGGAATGAGCACAGGGTTGTAGAGTACTGGCTTAAAACCTGGCTTACCAAGGCGTTTGCGCTAGTGTGCACCTTGGGTAAATTACTTAACTTCTCTCAGCCTCAGGCTCCTCCTCTGAAAAATGAGAAAACAATAACATATCTTCCCTAGACGGTTTGGCTCAGATAAATCTACCCCACAGACTGGCTATGGGCCTCCAGACTGAAGGGTCCCAGGTTCGATTCCGGCCAAGGGCACATGCCCAGGTTGTGGGCTCGATCCCCAGTAGGGGGCGTGCAGGAGGCAGCCGATCAATGATTCTCTCTCATCATTGATGTTTCTATCTCTCTCTCCCTCTCTGAAATCAATAAATTTTAAAAAAATTTCTTTAAAAAAGAATAACATATCTACTTCATAGGATCACTGTGAGGATTAAATGGGATAATTTATATAAAATGTGTAGCTCAGGGCCTGCCTGGAACACATCAGGAATCAAATGGTCGCTATGGGATTCACAATATTTGTACCGATAACTATGGCTTGCGCCTTTTTTTTAAATCACAGGTATGCTTCATCTAAAGCAGACTCCACCATCCCCTTCACCAGCTACAACCACTGTCTTGTTCCCCATCTATGTTCTTCACAGCATTTGTCACTATCAGAAATTATCTCCTTTATTTTATTTGCATTTACTTGTTTCCTGTCCGCCTCCCTATTAGAATGTAAACTCCGTAAGAACAGGGATTTGCTGCCCTAGTCACTGCTGTAACCGTGCTTAGCACGCAGTAGGTGCTCAGTAATGTTTGTGGTTTGAATAATCCCATGTTGTTAAAAACTTCCTTTTCCCTAATCTGCAAAATGGAGACCTACCACGACGGCGATAAATCTACCCCACAGACTGGCTCTCAGAAATTAAGAGGAACCAGACCACCACTAATTTTACTCCTACTCGAATGCACAATAAACCTGAAACGTGTGGAAACCAGGCTCGGCCCTAGCGTTTGCCCCGGGGGCCCTAAACCAACAGCGCAGGGGTGGCGGTCCCAGGGGAGGAAGTGGGGTCTGACAGAGGACAGGAAGCGGAAGGGACCTGTCCCCTGGGTTGGAGAAGGAAGTGGGATTTCAGAAAAAAGGAGAAGCCGGACCCTGGACTAGAAAAATGAAAAATAAAAAGTGCATCCCCTCGACTTAGTGGCTCCATGAGGCTTTGGGGACCCAGCCAGTGTCGGGGGTGGGGGTGGGGTACAGAAAGGGCAAAGGTGGGGTCGGCACTGGAGAGAAGGGGCCAGAGGGCTGAGGCAGCCTCTCTCGTACCCCTGACCGACACTCGCCGGTCCCCAATCCTACAGGAACTGGCTCCCTCCTCTCTCCCCCGCTCTGGACCCTGCTTCCTCTCCGACGGGCTTGGCCCGCTTCTCTCGGCGCACGCACACTTCTCACCGCTCTCCCCAATTCTCGCCATCACCTCACACCCCTGACTCGGGCTCCTTACCGGCATCTTGACGTCTCCCGAGTTTCAACTCAATAAGGAGAATCGGGTTAGAGAAAGGAGCTTCGGGTCCGGCGCTTGGGCGGGGTAGGCGGAAGTGAACCGGAAGAGGAGGGCGAGGGGACGATTTGCGCTTCCGGCCTTGAAGTTCCGCCGCTGGCTGCTGGGGCTGCGGGGATCCGAAGGGGCGCCAGGGGGCGCGCCAGCCCTAAGTAGAGGCTGAGTGTCACGCATGCGTGAGGCCTGGAGCTGGCGATGGGTCTTGGGGTTACAAATCCCTGTGAAGCATTACCTGGGTCACACTATTTTATTTTATTTTATAATACTTTCAAAATTGACTTCAGAGAGGAAAGGAGAGGCAGAGATAAAAACATCAATGAGAATCATGGATCGTCTGCCTCCTGCATGCCCCACACTGGGGATCAGCCCGCAACCCAGGCAGGTGCCCTGACCTGAATCGAACCATGAACTCCTGGTCCATAGTCTTCCCTCTTAACTACTTTTGGTATTTATCTCCCCATCCATGTGAACATCAAAAAGGCAGGGATTTTTGTCTGTTTTGTTCACTGATGTGTACCCCGTGTCTAAAAAAAAATGTGATGATACATAAGCATCAATAAATTTTTGCCAAGGGAATGAATGAACCTACTAGTTTTTAAAATGGACAAAAAAACACACACACACACACACACAAAAATGGAGAGCACATTGGTAAGGGATGACTGAGAAAATGGACTCTGGATTTGAATTCCAGCTCCTACACTTATCAGGCTCTGTAATTTTGGGCTAATTAATCTAGCTAATCAGTTTCCTCACCTGTAAATGGAGGTAACAGTACTTAATTCAGTTTTGTGACGATGAATGAATTGCATGTAATGTGCTTCGAACTTCTAAGGCTCAGGAATTTTAAAATTACTAGAAAGCACCTCATGTTAAAAGACAAGTTCATTCCTGCTTTGGCCCATTTCTTCTGTCAGTTCCCCAGACTAGAATACTTTGCTCCTGGTTCCCACACTGACTTCTCATTTTGGTCTCCTGTCAAATAGGAGGAGCCTTCTTTGACAATGAGCCCAAAGGAGCCTGTTATCACTTTCCCTTTCATTACTGTTTCTTCTTCCCATTCCTTATCAGAGGCTTCCCTGTTTATGGTTAATCTCAAGGACCCAGCACGTCAGCTCCAAAGAATAAGGATTTTTTTTTAAAAAAAGAAAAAAAAAGAATAAGGTTTTGTCAAGCTCCCATTTTATTCCCAGTGTCTGGCATCTCCTACTTGGGAAATTTTACAAATTCAAAAATTTTCCCTGGCTGAGTTATTTCAAATTATGAATGGAGAACAAGAGTGTAATGAAAGGTTAATGCTGTTTATTTTATTTATATACATACATATCTTTAAAAATTAGTCACTTTTCATTTTTTAATTATACAAATAATACATTTTCAATGTAGAAATTTGGAATACATATAAACAATGGTTTTACCTATATCCTACAGATTTTCACCTTTGGATATACATATTTTGTTACAATAATTCCTGCTCCTCCAAAAAAAAACCTTCAAAAATAACAAAACCAAACAGAAAAAATAAAGGTAGACTGGTCTTAACTGTACCACAGGTGCTAATTTACATTATATACAAATCTATGTGAATTAATTTCAATTTCAACTTTTAAAATCTAAACCAGGGGTCCTCAAACTACGGCCCGCGGGCCACATGCAAATACAAATATTGTATTTGTTCCCGTTTTGTTTTTTTACTTCAAAATAAGATATGTGCAGTGTGCATAGGAATTTGTTCATAGTTTTTTTTTTTAACTATAGTCCGGCCCTCCAACGGTCTGAGGGACAGTGAACTGGCCCCCTGTTTAAAAAGTTTGAGGACCCCTGATCTAAACTGATGCTTAGTAAAAATATAACACTAAAAGATTCCACTTTAAACAGCAGCAGTTTCAGAATAACCAAGAACTTGATTCAGGTGTGCTGTTGATAAAGAGCCAAGTATTATTTTTTTCATTAAAATAAGCAGCTTTTTAGTATTGCATCCTTTGAGAAAAATATTTTGCCGGTTCAGCCACAAGCTCTTTGCATATATACATTTACATGTTAATAAACTCTTTATTCATTCTGATGTTCTTGAAAATATTCATCAAACATAGAAGACGACTCATCTTCATGTTCCTGACACAAAGGAAACACAAAAGAGAAAATACATTGGTTTCCCCTCAGTTAGACATAGTATGTGTTTACGTATTTTTCAGGTAATGCTCTGTAAGGAGCTAACACTCAGTGCCAGCTCCTGGTGCTGCACATAGGTAATAGTTAATAGTAACAAAAGGCATGATTGAAAGAATATTTAAAGTGTTTATATCTGCCGAAACCGGTTTGGTTCGGTGGATAGAGCGTCGGCCTGCGGACTGAAGGGTCCCAGGTTCGATTCCGGTCAAGGGCATGTACCTGGGTTTCGGGCACATCCCCAGTGGGAGATGTGCAGGAGGCAGCTGATCGATGTTTCTCTCTCATCGATGTTTCTAACTCTCTATCTCTCTCCCTTCCTCTCTGTAAAAAATCAATAAAATATATTTTTTTAAAAAAAGTGTTTATATCTCATTAGAAGCATTTCTTCTTCTTTTTTTAAATCCTCACCTAAAGTCATTTTCATTCATTTAGAGAGGGGGGGAAAGAGGAAGAAAGGTAGGGACGGAGGGAGGGGGAAAGACAGAGGAAGAGAGAGAGAGAGAAACATCTATGCAAGAGAGAAACATTGATCAGTTGCCTCCCATATGCACACTGACAGGGAATTAAAACCTGCAACTCAGGTATGTGCCCTGACTGGGAATTAAATCCATGACCCTTCCATGCATGGGACCACATTCCAACATACTGAGTCACAGAAGCCAGGACTAGAAGCATTTCTTACACCAGTTCTCAGCTATCTTACTGTGCTAATACCCTACTGAAAACTATCCTTAGTCTTTCTATTGACCTATGTGAGGGCAGCCCAAATTCAATTGGATTTTACCTCCTTTTTGCATCTATCCCAAGCTCTGAGTACTAAGAAACATAAATCAGTAATAGTGTCTCAATAAAAAATAGAGTAAAACTGATATTGCTCTTTGAGCTCAGGAGTCAATTTCAGGAGTCACCAGAGAAGCCTAGGTTACTGCCACCACTAAGACAAAAATTAATTTGAGTTTCTGGATTACACAGGAGATCAAGGAGTGCCGGCAAAAATTTTACTAAAAGCCAATAAATACCCTAAACCAGAAATTACCTTTGGTTCTTTAAATTCCAAGTCTTCTCCATACTGAATGGCAAAATCAATATGCTGTAATACAATGTTCATGCTTTCTTCATCTGACTGATCGTAAGGCAAAAATCGAACCATGCTGTAGTCGTCAATCTATAAGTTGGAGATTTCAGAAAGGGTCATTCTGAAACTGTGCAACATGTTTAATTTTCAACTTATATATTTGAGGTTTATAACCATTTATCATTGGATAGACAGAGACAAAACGGAAAATCAATATTCATTTTTCTGGTCTGACTTACCAGAACACTCAACTTACTACATAACTAGATACTGTTTCATAGGCATTTATCTGAATTCAACAACTACTGGAAATTTCAACAGGGCACAGACAGTTCTGAATTCCCAAAATGGCTTGGGATAATGGACATGTCAGCTAATTTACTGGCTATCACCAATAACTGCTTCTAAATTAAACTGTGGGGGGAAAAATGAAAAAAAAAAAAAAATTAAACTGCTGACTGGCCAGCCCACAGCCCGTCACCACCACCTCCCCATTGCAAGCAAGTAGGACTGGATTGTGCTTTCCGTAATGTTGGCCACCGATGAATAACAAAAAACAACAACAACAACAACAACAAAAATTTAACCAGCTTACCAGTCCACATATAGCTTTAGTCAATTTTTTGAATTTTTTGCTTCTTAAGTCACTTGTGGAATCATCTAATAAAGAATACATGTCTGGATCTAGAAACCTTTAAAAGTGAGAAAGAGACTGATGAATAAAAGGAAGAAGAAATCCAATTTACAGACAGACAGAACCTCACATGTAAATAAAGCTTAGAAGATTCATCGCTGCAACTGAGATCTGATTGTAGTGGAGGCCATGAACTCACTTCTCAATTTCCTTCTTAGCTTTCTTACTCAGCAGGTCCATTTTCGTCATGATGTTAACTTGTGGAATTTCTAGAGAGATCATAGCACTCAGGGCCGCCAAGATGCCAGAAATAAACTGAAGGAGGAAACAGGAAAGGGAAGATAAATCAACAGGTGCCAACAAAGTTCCCTGGTCTCTGCATGAAAGAGAGGCTTCTGTGCCTCACTGGAGCAGAACTGGCCTCAATCAAAGAAACATTGATCCTAAAGAAAGGACAGTCCACTAATCAGAGGGCTGACCCTTGGTTTCCGAAGGTGAGGAGAAAAAAGGTGTAGATTTAATCTGTGGTGGTCACAAATCTCAATTTAGACCATATCTTTAACCTTCTTTCCCATAAAAAATTCCTTAAGAGCTATTAATGAGAAATAAAGTTTCAGACAGTTCATAAACTAGACAAACAGCCCTCAGGAAATTAAAAATGCACATACATAATATGCACCTGCCTCATTTTTCTCAGTAAGTAGTTCTCCATATAATATCATAATTTACCATCTGAAGTGAAAATACATTATTATAATAATTTTATAAGGGATACAAAGTAACTCTAGAGTATAGTTTGTGAAATGTCCGGAATCACACAATGATTAAAGGAGACTGTCATCTGCTTGCACCCATGACTGAAATATCAACAACAGATTTATCCTCAAACCTTAAAAGACTCCACCATAAACTGTGAATCGACCAGAAAAACTCCACAGACTCGGAACTCCCACTGTTCTAGCCGCTGGACCAGTTGTTTCATCACAGGCAGATGCGTATACAACTCGATCTGACCTACATGAAGAAAATTGCAAGACTATTACAATCAGGAAATGTTAAAAAATACAAAAAAATTTACCCATAAGATGGTTAAAAAAAACAAACAAACTGCCCTGCTAGAGTGGCACAGTGGTTGAGCATCGACCTATGAACCAGGAGGTCACGGTTCAATTCCCAGTCAGGGCACATGCCTGGGTTGAGGGCTCAATCCCTAGTAGGGGTGTGCAGGAGGCAGCCGATCAATGATTCTCTCTCATCATTGATGTTTCTCTCTCTTTCTCTCTCTCTTTTCCTCTCCCTTCCTCTCTGAAATCAATAAAAATATATTTTAAAAAATTAAAATTAAAAACAAACCAACAACAACAACAACAACAAAAGGAAGTCAAGCCCTGGTAGAAATATATTCCATTTTAAGGAGTCTTATAGCCTCTTGAAGCAATCACAAAATCATGAGGTTCATCATACTTTCTAGTTTTTGCCCATCAAAAGCAAGCGCCCACAACCAAGGTACATGCCCTTGACCGGAATCGAACCCAGGACCCTTCAGTCCGCAGGCCGACACTCTATCCACTGAGCCAAACCGGCCAGGGCAATAAAAATATATTTTAAAAATTTAAAATTAAAAACAAACCAACAACAACAACAAAAAAAGGAAGTCAAGCCCTGGTAGAAATATATTCCATTTTAAGGAGTCTTATAGCCTCTTGAAGCAATCACAAAATCATGAGGTTCATCATACTTTCTAGTTTTTGCCCATCAAAAGCAAGCGCTACAATTTTGTTAACCAGTGTCACCCAATAAATTCAATAAAAGGAAAAATAATATCCCTCTCCCTTCCTCTCTGTAAAAAAAATCAATAAAAATATGTTTTTTAAAAAAAAGGAAAAATAAAAAAGCGAGTGCTACAAAGGTATTGCAGTTTAGGAATATTCATCAAGCTGAACACTTATGACATCTGAACTTTTCTGTGGGTGTGTGTATGTTCAATTAAAAGCAGAGGGGAAAAGTGAGAGCCACATATGATCAAAGCTCAGTTAAGCTCAAGTCTAAAATTCACAATTTGGTTTAACAAGTCATACGCGTTTCTCTCTCCCCTACCAGCCTCACTTCACAACATTTCCCTTTGTGCACTGTGTGCTTCAGCCACAACAGCCTTTTTGGTGCCTCAAACCCACCTCCTTCCTTCCTGCCCGTAGGCCTACAACATGCTGTGACTTTTGCATGGACCAGTCTCCCTCACCTTTGGGCTATGGCCCAGCCTACAGGCCACTGGATCAAAGCCTCCTCTAACCTCCCTGCTGTGTGATGGTCTATGCCAGCAGTCGCCAACCTTTCGGACCTCACGGACCACAGGTTGGTGACCGCTGCTCTATGCTATTCCTGTCACAAAGGAATATTAAATAACATTTGGGTGATTTTTGTTTATACTGTCTAGCACTGCCACTTGACTGTGAGCTCCACCAGGGCAGAGACCATGGCTGCCTGGTTCTCTATGGTATTCTCAGTGTACAAAGTTAAGCACTCAGTAAACTCAATGAATGAGTAGAGCCGATGAATAAGAGCTTTGTACCTTACTGCAATCTGTATAATTCAGAGTGACAAATGCGCACTGCACTTTCTCCTACTGAGGACAGAACCAGCATGACTGTGAGGAAAATGACACATTCAAACGGCTCACCCACCTGGACAGTCAAAAAGGATGTAGTCATCCTCTACGTGGCCAAGACAGCTCTCTAGCCAGTCAAAATTATTGGCGAAGTACTCCATGCAAAACACCAATCCTCCATTGGGACCGAACCGCAGAGAATCATCCTCCATCACGTCATCCACCTCGATCAGTTCCCGGATGTCTGAAAAGGATAGGCAGGCCCCGGAAGAGAAGCACATCCATTTGAAAACGGTTATCCTCACAAGTGATAATTAACCATTCTATAAAAACTCACACATATAAGATTGTTTCTGTACATGGTTATTCCCTATAGCAGTGTCTGTGGGAAGTAATTATTGAATAGCCAGACAATAGAATCCTATGCAGCCATAAAAAAGGAAAAGCTCTTCAAGTATTTGATTATGACCTAATCTCCTAGTTACACTGTTAAGTGAAAAGTGTAAGGTATAGAAGTCCATGTAAGAATCCATCGTTTGGCCCTAACCGGTTTGGCTCAGTGGATAGAGCGTTGGCCTGCAGACTGAAGGGTCCCAGGTTCGATTCTGGTCAAGGGCATGTACCTTGGTTGCGGCACATCCCCAGTATGGGGCGTGCAGGAGGCAGCTGATCGATGTTTCTCTCTCATCGATGTTTCTAACTCTCTATCCCTCTCCCTTCCTCTCTGTAAAAAATCAATAAAATATAAAATAAAAAAATAAAAAGAATCCATTGTTTGTGTTTAAAAAAAAAAGACAAAGACTCACGATATGTACATAATAATATGCATCTTTGATTTTATATGCATAGATTCTCTATGGATAAACACACCCCAGAAAAGTGGCAATTCTGGCTGCATCCTACGAGAGCAGCCGACTGCTGGGACACAGAGCTGGAAGAGACATTTACTCTTTTGTACCTTTTGCATTTTGAACGATGTGAATATACACTAAGTATCCTATAACCAGTAAACAAAACAAACAAACCAAGAAAACCAATTACTGTTTCTTAACACAATGAGCCCAAGGAAGCTACTTAACCTTCCTATGCCTCACTTTCCGTATTTACAGATGGGGTACAAATCATATATCCTAGTGTAGAAGGATGAGGACTATATGAGATAACATAGCTAAATCACCTATAGCAGCAGCTCAAAGAATTCTGGTATATGCATGGTTCTCTTCTATTACTAATTTTTGGAAATCAGTATTTTTAACTATCTACGGTAGGTTTTTATTTTTGTGTTCAAACCTACAATCTCTGTTCCCAGAGAACTGTGCCTCACTCACAGCCCCATGCATGTGGCTAATATCTTCCCACGTACTTTCCCAGGAATAACATCTGACGCCAAGTTGGGACAACTGTAATAGCTGCACTGCTGGCCCCCGCTTCTCCTCTTGACCCTCTAGAGTCCATCTGTCATCCGAGAGCCAGTTACCTTTAAAAACATAAACCAGATGCCAACCCTCTCCCCTGCTTAACACCCGCTAATGGCATTCCATCGCTGACAAGTGCTAGAGATTCAATACATGTGTCCTTCCCAAATTCATATGTTCAAAACCTAAAGCCCAAGGCGATGATTTTAGGAGGTAATTAGGGTCATGAGGGGTCTTATAAAAGAGGCCCTAAGGATCCCTCACCCCCTTATGTGAGGACACAGGGAGAAGTTGGCAGCCTACAGAATATAACTGGGTCTTCACCAGAATCTGACCGTGCGGGCATCCTGATCTTGGACTTCCAGCCTCCAGAAGTGTGAGAAATACATTTCTATTTTTTGTAAGTCTCCACCTATGGCATTTTGTTATAGCAGCCCAAACAAAATAAGAAACAGTATAGTCCTGGCTGGTTTGGCTCAGTGGATAAAGCGTCGGCCTGCAGACTGAGGGATGCTGGGTTATAGCAGCCCAAACAGAATAAGAAAACAGTATAGTCCTGGCTGGTTTGGCTCAGTGGATAAAGCGTCGGCCTGCAGACTGAGGGATGCTGGGTTTGATTCCGGTCAAGGGCACGTGCCTCAGTTGCAGGCTTAATCCTGGCCCTGGTTGGGGTGCATGTGGGAGGCAACCAATCGATCTATCTCTCTCTCACGTCGATGTTTCACTCTCTTTGTCTATCCCCATCCCTTCCATTCTCTCTAAAAATCACTGGAAAAAATATCCCTGGGTGAGGATTAACAAAACAAAACAAAACAGTGTTGAAACAAATTCTGTTGGATCCACCAGATTAATTAGTTAATAAAAATAAGTTAAAAAAACAAAAAACAAAACACAGGATAAAACCAAAACTTCTCATCTCCTACTAGCTCCTACCCACTTTCTTTCACTCATTATGCTCCAACTCATCAATATCTTTGATTTTTCTGGAATAAATCAAACCCTTTTCCATCTCTAAGGCTATGTATTGACCTTGATGTGGTCTCATTTTAGAAAGCCTTTCCCCAGCTTGATGAGCATATTGCCATCTTTAGATCTGGGCCCAAATATCTCCTCCTCCCGAGACACCATCCCTGACTACACTACCTAAAGCAGTGATGGCGAACCTTTTGAGCTCGGCGTGTCAGCATTTTGAAAAACCCTAACTTAACTCTGGTGCCGTGTCACATATAGAAATTTTTTGATATTTGCAACCATAGTAAAACAAAGACTTATATTTTTGATATTTATTTTATATATTTAAATGCCATTTAATCAACCAAAAAAATGAGTTCACGTGTCACCTCTGACACTGACCTAAAGCAATCTCCTCTAGTTATTCCCTCTAATCAGCCTACTGGCAGTCTTTATCTCAATCTGTAACGTGTTGCTTATAGCTTATCTCCCTGACTAAAAGGTACACAAAAGTAGGATTAGTATGTCTTGTTCCACAGACACTTGAATGAATAAATTAAAGGAGTTAAAAAAAAACCACAGCAACACTGAGGGGGCTCACTCAGAGTATGATCAGCAGTAAACCAGATTCACCGTAGCAGCACTAAGCATGGAAAGTACAGAAGGGAAGGGTAGGAAGGCACCTACTTACTTGAATTTAGTACCTAAGAGACCACGAGAAAGGATACTGTTAAACATAAATGGATGTCAGCAAATGACATTCAGCCTCATGCTGCTCACCATTTAACCAGGGGACCAGACTGTAATAATATTTCAGCTTCTGTGCCGAGCAGCCAGCACTCCCGGCCTCCTCACCCTCCTAATTTTCCTGAAGGAGGGGGAAGCTCTGCTCAGGACTCACCAGCCATTACGGGGTAGCTGAAGTGTTCTGCTGCAGGATCGAGGTTCACCACCTGGACAGACCGACTGAGGGCTTCACAGTGCTGGACCATGGTGGCGCAGTAAGTACTCTGTAACGTCACAGGGCTCAAGGGGTCAGAGCAACAGCAATGTAATGTTACCTCCTGCACCCCCACAAGGACGCTACGCCCTGGACAGTGTCTGCTAGGGACAAAACTAGGCCTTCACTGATCCCTGGGAGCCAGACAGGGCCGGATTAGACAAAACTGGGTTCCAGCCCGGCTGGTGTGGCTCAGCGGTTAAACATCGACCTATGAGCCAGAAGGTCGTGGTTTGACTCCTGGTTGGGGCACGTGGCCAGCTTGCAGGCTCCATCCCCAGTTGGGGGCGTGCAGGAGGCAGCCGGTCCATGATTTTCTCTCTCATCACTGATGTTTCTGTCTCTCCCTCTCTGAAGTCAATAAAAATATATGTTAAAAAACTGGATTCCAGCCGCCACTTACTAGCTGTGATCCCGAGCAAAGAACCTTTCCGTGTCTCATTTCCCTTATCTGTACAGCCGGATTAAAAGGGCTTATTTTAGAGGGTTGTTGTGGAAACAAATGAGGTGTTCAGCGCAGTATCTGGGGCTTAAGTATAAAAATAAGTATTAGCAACTATCACTCCTCTCCTTTCAAAACAACAACGAACAGGGTACCGAAGCCCAGACTGCAGAAGGGAGCTGCCCAGGGTCTCAGGGTCCCCAGTACAAACACCCGCCGGTCCCCTCCTCTGGACCCGAACCTCCCTGCCTCCCACGAGCTCCTACTCTTCCCTCCTTCTTCCGCCAAATCCTCACCTTCCCGCTGCCTGCGGGGCCCATGACCAGCTGCGCATACCGAGGCATGTCAGCTCCCCGAGATCCCGGAGCCGCCCGCCGCGCAGCAGTCCCCAAGAGCGGCGGCCACACTCCCTTCAGCCTTCGCGCGACGCCCTGAGTTCCGGGAACGTGAGGTGCGAACCAATCACAACCCAAGTTCCGTTTACATGCCACACCTCCGAGTACGGAGCATCCCGCAGGCCAAATCCCGTGCGAAACGCGTCCTAAGAAAACCCTGGGAAGGGAGGGATGTTGTGTGCGCACGCGCTGAGGTTGTTGGTCCAAACCCTTGGTGGTGAGACTGGCGAAGCCTGGTTGCCTTGGTGATAACTGTTTACGGATAACGGCTAGCACTCGGCATTCCTGCGCGGGGTGCTTGGGTCCTTGGTTTGCGTACTGATGTTTGACACAGATGGTGACATTCGAGATTTGCAAATTTGCCGAGGGTCTGGAATACTGAGGTGGAAGGCACCTCCGGTGGTGGAGGGCATGTCTATTTCCTTTCCGTGACGCAACCGTTCCACAAAAAGATGCAAACGTGCAAACGCGTAGTCAACTGAAGAATTCCCGCTCCTCCCCAATTTAACTCCGGGATCGTGGATCTGCCCTCCCCGCTCTCCCGAAGCTATTCGGGCCGTGTCCGGAACGCCCCGGAGGGGGCTAGAATCCGGCATCCGCCTCTTCGCCCCCAATATCGCCCGACCTGACGCAAGCGTGCTGACCCGGGAGGGGAAGAGGGAAAGCTTCCCCCGCACACAGCTCGCGGTCCCTGCACCCGGGAGGAGATGCTCGGCCAGGGTCCGGTGTCCGCCTGGACGGACTGCAGCCCTTCCGCAGAGCCTCCGGCAGTGGCCAGGACCGAGGGTGGCGGAGGCGGGTGAGGCTGCGGGGCCCTGAGGGGTGAGGGAGGACGGGGACCGGCGCGGTCATGATCCCCCTGGTGGAGAGGGGTTGGGAGCTGGCTGCTCCAATCGACTGGCCCCCAATGCACTGAAGAGAGAGGCGGGGAGAACCTTTGTTGTGGCCGGGATGGGAAACATGGAAGCCGACGCGCTGTTCAAAGGAAGGGTTTCTGAGGAGGGTTTGGGGCAATGACAACGCGGTGACTGCGACAGTCACCTGCGTGCATCTTTCTGCCCCGAGGGGGCGCTGGGGAACCGGCTGGAAAGGCGGCCTGGCCACCGGACTCTACGTAAACCCGGTGGGGAGAGGGGAGACTGCGGGGACAAGCGTCCTTGTTCAATCGAGGGCTCCCGAGTCAATAAATCAGTTCCCCGTGTGTGACATTAGCCACCTTTATGTCAAGTGGGGATTCATAATCGTCCATAAAACAGATGACTATGAATATTAGAAGTACTTGACGTTTTCTTCACACAGAAGTTCGTTTCTTCATAAACCTATTTTATTTTAGCAAGTTTTTACTCTTATTTCCTGATGCTGAAGACAGTTGCTGAAGTCACTGCTGAAGTCACTAACCTCCTCATCCCTTTCATCAGTTATTCCCTAAAACAGAGCGGCTGGCTGTTTGCCAAAGCAGCTCACAGCAGCCATGGCCTTTTTATTTTTTTTTAAATATATGGTGGATTGAAGACTTCTTAAAGATGGGATGGGGCCCTGACCGGTTTGGCTCAGCGGATAGAGCGTCGGCCTGCGGACTCAAGGGTCCCAGGTTCGATTCTGGCCAAGGGCATGTACCTGGGTTGCAGGCATATCCCCAGTGGGGAGTGTGCAGGAGGCAGCTGATAGATGTTTCTAGCTCTCTGTCCCTCTCCCTTCCTCTCTGTGGGAAAATCAATAAAATATATTTTTTAAAAAAAGATGAGATGGGGTCTTGTGTTTCTTTTCTGTTCCTCTCAGTGCTTAGTGAAGTGCTGGATCCTAGTATATCAGGAGATGAATGAACTCGTGTTCATTGAATAAATTGGAAGAAGGAAGGAAGAAGGAAGGGTGTTTTGTCTCAATTTGAGAAAAAAAAAAACCTATACAAAATTAGATACATTCCAAATCCAGGATTCTAGAACACCTTAATTACATACAATAAAAAACAAGATAGTCTTTTCCATAGCCAAGTTACTTTATTAAAAATAAAGAGAACAAGAAAATATTATGGTTAGGACTAGAAGCCCAAACTACTTTATTAAACTCAATGTAGGAATTAGATTAGGAGGCTATAAAACTAGGCCAAACTTGGCTTAAAGTAAATCCTGTCTAATAATATGGTAAAGAAAATATCAGATAACTCACTTTAAATAAGTCTGGAGCCATTCAGATATAACCAGAATGACAGAAGAAAATTTGCAAGACATTCTGTCTGATGGAAGCATGAAAAGTATAAAGCATATGCAATACTGTCCTTTTTTCATTTAAAATACCTTCTTTTTTTTTTTAAATATATTTTATTGATTTTTTACAGAGAGGAAGGGAGAGAGATAGAGAGTCAGAAACATCGATCAGCTGCCTCCTGCACACCCCCCACTGGGGACGTGCCCGCAACCCAGGTACATGCCCCTGACCGGAATCGAACCTGGGACCCTTGAGTCCGCAGGCCGACGCTCCATCCACTGAGCCAAACCGGTTTCGGCTAAAATACCTTCTTTAATGCTTATAAAGCTGTCAGTTATTTGTTGTTACTACCTACTATTTACATCCTTTTTTTTTTTTTTTAACAGATCAGCTGGACATTCTTATTACCAGAATTCCAAAGGTACTGGTGAGTAGAGCACATAAGTCAGATAATACCTATAAATAACATGGTTCAGAGAAGTCAGTTTTGCTATAACTCTCACACAAAGGAGGTTTAAAAATAGATTTTATTAGCCTCCTTGGTGATCTTACTCTTTAAGATTTTTCAGAGATCAGCAGGTACTTTGTCTCCCATGAAGATATCTTACATCAAGCATTTTAAAAATAGTCTTTCAAAATAGCAATGAATCTGAAAACTGTGTTTATAACTGATGTTGGTTGAAAAGAAGAGAGCACAGATTGAAGGAAAATTTTAAAATTGAACAAACTCAAAGAACAAAATATTTCTTAATGCTGCTGTTTTCCTGTCCCTTGGAGTAAAGGATAGAGCTGCCGGAGTTGAGAGGATAAGGTGCCCTCCCAAAGGTGTCTCACTAATTTTGGGGAGGGAGCAATTTCAATTCAATGATATGTAAACCTGGATTCACTTTGCTTTTCCTTGGAAATTTTATAGTCCTAACAGTTACCTAGGAAAAACATACATACATGTAAGTATATAGATATAAAAATGCACAGACATACATATAAATGTATATACATAATGTGGTTTTCAAATGGAATTGCTGATTCATATGGCCATTCTATGTTTAATATTTTGAAGAACTGCCACACTGTTTCTATAGCAGCTGCACATTTTACATTCCCACCAGCAATGCACATGGTTCCAATTTATCCACATCCTAGCTAACACTTATTTTTGTTTGGATTTTTTTTTTATGATAAGCATCCTTATGGGTATCTCACTATGGTTTTGATTTTGACTTCCCTAATGATTAGTGATAGTGAGCATCTTTTCATGTACTAATTGACAATTTGTGTGTCTTTGGAGACATCCAAAGTCTATCCAAGTCCTTTGCCCATATTTCAGTTAGGTTGTTTGTTGTTGAGTTTAACTATTATTTTTATAACTATTATTTTTAAATGTTTGATTTTCTGTAACAAAATGCTACCAAGCTTTTGAGCAATTAAATTTTAGACCAGGCTATGATATACATCTTAGAAATATTTATTAGCAGGGACACAAAAGATATACTCTTAGAGAATTAGCCCACACTTATGACTTGAGAAAGGATTTCAAATAAACTTGAGCCCTAGCTGGTTTGGCTCAGTGGATAGAGCATCGGCCTGCAGACCAAAGGGTCCCAGGTTTGATTCTGGTCAAGGGCACATGCCCAGTGTTGCGGGCTCGATCTCCAGTAGGGGGCATGCAGGAGGCAGCCAATCAATGATTGTTTTTTTCTTTAAATATATTTTATTGATTTTTTACAGAGAGGAAGGGAGAGGGACAGAGAGTTGGAAACATCGATGAGAAACATCGATCAGCCGCCTCCTGCACGCCCCGCACTGGGGATGTACATGCCCCTGACCGAAATCGAACCTGGGACCCTTCAGTCTGTAGGCCAACGCTCCATCCACTGAGCCAAACCGGTTAAGGCCAATCAATGATTCTTATCATTGATGTTTTTCTCTCTCTCCCTCTCCCTTCCTCTCTGAAATCAATAAAAATATATTAAAATAATAATAATAATAATAATAAACTTGAAATGTTGAATTAGTATTTTATTATTACAGTTTCCAAATGATGATTTAAGGGTCATAATAATTTCCAGATGATTTTCTATTTGTTGGCAAACTAGTTAGTCTTTCAGTATGCCATATCTGGTTTGTCCAAATCTTTAAAAAATAACTAAATTTAAAGTTTAATATATAAAATTATAGTGGCCTTTGTTATCAATAACATTAAAACAAAACTGTGCTTATTTAATTGACTTTATTAAGTAAAAACTTTTAACTTAAAATCTGTTCTGCCAGCTTAATTTGTAATAGTCCAAAACTGGAAACAATCCAAGTGTCCATCAACAGGTTTCTCTCTCACATCCATGTTTCTCTTTCTCTTTCTCTTCCTCTGCCTAAAAGCAATTAAAAAATTTTTAACAGCCCATGCTACATCTCCAGAATAATCACTGACACATGTAAATACATAGACCTTAATAATTAATTTGTTGAACTGATCTTTCTCATAAAATTCACATAATAATGTCCTTGCCTACAGATGGAATCAAAGATGGACACAAAATGAACTTACACATAGCCAAGCTACAAGAGTTATGGAAAACTCCTCAAATTCAAACAATTCACATCACTAAATCAATGACAGATGTGTCCTTTCTAAAGGTATGCTAACTACCTACCAATACTTTATTTAAATACCAATAATCTTTGTATTCAGAGCTGAACTTTTTATTGAAGACCAGAGGCCCGGCATGCACCGGTGGGGTCCCTCGGCCTAGCCTGCAGGGATTAGGCTGCAACTGGCTCTCCGACATCCCCCAAGGGGTCCCAGATTGCAAGAGGGCAGTTCTCAAGTGATGCACCCTGGAATCAGGCTCCCTCCTCTCTGGTTCTGGGTGCGTCACCCGAGAACCCAGCCACCGCAGATCAGCAGCTCCTGCAGTGAGCGTCTGCCCTGGGCGGTCAGTGTGCGTCATAGCTACCGGTCTGAGCGTCTGCCCCCTGGTGGTCATTGCATGTCATAGCTAGCGGTCAGACAGTTGAATGGTCACTTAGGCTTTTATATATAGACAAGCTACTTAGAAGTGATTTTCAACCTTTTATATCTCATGACACACACAAACTATTTATTAAAATTCTGCAGCACACCAAAAAATATATTTTTTGCTGATCTGACAAAAAAAGGTATAGTTTTGATTCATTCACACCTGGCTGCTATTTTTGTGTTGGCTGTTGTCACTTTTACAATTTGACAATCTAAGGGAAAAGAGGTCAGGCTCTGGCAGGGTAACTCAGTTGGTTAGAGCATTGTCCCGATATGCCAAGGTTACAGGTTTGACCCTGTTAGCGCACATACAAGAATCAACCAATGAATACATAAATAAGTGGAATGACAAATCTCTCTCTCTCTTTCTCTCTCTCTCATAAATAAATTAAAATTTTTAAAAAAGGGGCCAGTGCTCTCAGCTAAATAATCAGATATTGCATGTTTTAAAAATTCTTGTGGCACACTGGTTGGAAATTGCTGACTTAGAGGGTAAGGTACTGCAGAAGACAAGGCACACCCAGCATATTGTGTAGGAATATATAGATATAGATAGATATAGATATAGATATAGATATAGATATAGATATAGATATAGATATAGATATAGATAGATATAGATATATAATCTGTTGGGTCAACCATGAGTGAATACAAGAATTTTATTATAGACTAGAGGCCTGGTGCACAAAATTCATGCATGGAGTGGAGGTGGGGGGTCCCTCAGCCCGGCCTGCACCCTCTCCAATCCAGGACCTCTCGGAAGATGTCTGACTGCCTCTCGCAATCCGGGACTGCTGGCTCCTAACTGCTCGCCTGCCTGCCTGCCTGATCGCCCCTAACCACCTCTGCCTGCCTGATCACCCCTAACCACATCTGCCTGCCTGCCTAATCACCCCTAACTGCTCCCCTGCTGGCCTGATCATCCCTAACCGCCTCTGCCTCACCCTGCACCTGGGACCCAAGATTCCCTCCTCCAGCTGGTTGCAGGCACCCAGGACTTGGGCTTCCCTCCCTCTGGCCAGCCGCAGGCACCCAGGACCCAGACCGGCTTCACTTGGGCCAGCCGCAGTCACAGGGGACCACGGGGCAGGCAGCTTGTCCCTCTCCCAGGCCGAAGTCCATTCCTCTCTCACGAGCTCATTTGTGCCTGGCTGGTCTCCATTCCTCTCTTGTGAGCTCATTTGTGCCTGGTTGGTCCCCATTCCTCTCTCCCCAGTGTTGAGAGTCTGAGCCATTATGGCTTGACGGTGTGAGGGTGTGATGACCATTTGCATATTAGCTCTTATTTAGGATTTCTTATCATAAGAGTTCTTTCAGGGCTTTATGACCTTCAGATTTGATGTACCTTTATGCAGGAAACTCAATGCCTCAAACACGAAGGCACTTGAGGAAAGTTCCATTCTAGAGATGGAAACCCACCTCATAAAGATTTTTCTCAAAGACTACAAAATTAGAAGCAAGCAAGTAAAGAAAATGGCAGTAAACCTTTAACACAGCTATTGTCCTGTATTACCCATTAAAGATCATAGCTGGCAGGGTAGCCTTTCCAGAGCAACACAAATTAGGCTTACTAAAGATTAGTGCCATCTGGTGAAGTTTTCAGGTCAACCTTTTGAATTTCTTCTGGATTATTACCTATCCAGTTCAGTAAATCCTGTGTGTGTGTGTGTGTGTGGCATGCGCATATGTAGTGGAGTCTTGCATTTTAGGTGTTAACTTCTAAAATCAGCAAGTACAGTGAAAATATTAGTCAAAGTTACTTATATCAGAGCCCATCAGACTATCCCTCCATCTGTCCAACTCAGTTATCCTTATGGTTTTAGAAAGGCCTGTTTTTTTAGTTAAACTAAATAGAGTAATTGGGTTGCTTTTAGATGCTACTTTATATAGAAGTGAGATGCCCACACTCACGGAGAGGCACATGGGAATTAAGACTCACTGACTGGGGTGGTGAACACACAAAACAATAAACAGATGATGTGTTATAGAATTGTACACCTGAAACATATATAATTTTATTAACCAATGACACCCCAATAAATCCAATAAAAAATAAAAAAATGCACCACACACACACGCACACACATACACCCCAAAAAAGACTCACTGACATAACAGCGGATTCATATTTTGCTTACTCTTCTAGAGCAGTGGCCCTCAAACCTCATTGGGCATCTGAATCACTTGAGTGGAAATGGCAAGCAGAGTCACTTGTACTATTTAAATGGCCATTTCTTTCTCTCTCTCCGTGGCCAAATTAACATAGTTGAATTTGCTTAAGTAAAACGTACAGATGGTACATTCTGCTAAACATTCATCCTTTCAGATAAAAGCCTATAAATCTTGTTCTGTCTTTTAGCATCCAGACCTCACCATAGGCCAGAAGCATTATCTGTGCAGCATTGCTAAGATCTGTAATGTGAACTGTCTGAGGGTGTTAATGAAGAGGCAGTACATGCATATGATCCAGCACAACTCTCACAAGCCAGGCAGGTGCACCTGCAATTAGTTTCTTACTAGTTGTCACAAGAAATGAGAGGGTCCTCTAACTGAAGTGATTTATATGACAGGTGTCCTCACTCATCACAGGAGCCACCTCAGTTCTCGTCACTCCCAGAAGCAGCATTACCCCTGTACTACATGGCGACACCAACTGGAGAGAGGGGACTCAGTGCCTTCCAACATCGCAGCCGCATCTGCACCTGAAATGATCACACAGCATTCCCTTTGGCGACCCATGAGAAACAAAGGAAGGTCTGCTTCTTATTGTTTAAAAGGAGGAAAATGTACCCCAATTTTATTTGAAGGGTAGCTAAATGATATTAAAACTCGTGTTCCCTATTATGTTGACTTTGCTAAGTTCAGAAGCGGCTGGACAAAAAGCAAAAAAGGATGTTATCTTATGGTCTCTTTACTGAGCTGACTGGGATATGCCACATCTTTTAGAACTTATTTGGTGGAATTGTCAACATTTCTTGACCAGCTAGAGATATGGAAGACTGCCCTTTTCAGTGATTCCCACTCAAATTCAAAACAATGCAAACACTTCCAAAAGGAGAAGCATATGGTCGCTTCTGCACAGGGGAATACTATAAACAAAAGAGGAGGGAAAATGAGATAAGAAGCCTAATTATTCAACCTGCAAAATAGTTAGCTTTGCATTTCAGGATTAATAAGTCACAGGAGAACTCAGGGGCTGAAAGGGTCTCTTTGGTGATGCTGGCAGCTTAATAGAGAATTTGTGTAGCCTTCCACAATCATTAGGCAGCTGTTCACTTTGCTGGTTGCGATTAAGATGCTTTTCTTTCTTATAGTTTAAAAACTGGATATGTGTCTAAAACAAGATGTAAGTCGCTGAAGATTTTTAGAAAACCAGGCAGACTGTTCATGCAATCAGGTAAATGTAGAATTTGAAAAATATGCATTTTTAAAGATCTTATGTATAAAAAATTATTAAACCCAATATAGATTAAGCCATTGAAAATTTAGAATGTGATTTGCTTGTATTGCTCCTAATAAAACTAAACATGAAATATATTTCTGCTTTCATTTAAAAGAACACACTGCTCAGAGTAGTAAGATTCAAGGTATTTCTAATTATAAATTAAGATATAATGTTACCCAGCTGGCATGGCTCAGTGGTTGAGTATCCACCTATGAACCAGGTCGTGGTTTGATTCCCGGTCGGGGCACATGCCCGGGTTTAGGGCTCAGTTCCCAGTGTGGGACGTGCAGGAGGCAGCCAATCGATTCTCTCATCTTTGATGTTTCTATCTCTCTCTCCCTCTTCCTTCTTCTCTGAAATCAATAAAAAAATATATTTTTAAAAAGGTACAATATCAAGGTTAGAAACTTAACAGAATTTATCATATCAGAACCCAAATTCACAAAAACATGACTTTTTCCAAGCCATAGCACTTGTTTTATGAGGTAGTGCCATTTTTGGAAGGATAACATAGTTTGTATAGCATCAAACAGTTTACAGAAGGCTATTATCACCAATACCATTTTAATACTACTCAACAAATCAGTGGAAGCAAGCCAAGCAGGTGACAGAGCAACTCAGACAAATCTAGACTTGGGAAGGATCGGCATAAAGGATCCTTCTACAATTACGGAATAGCATAAAATGAAAAAGACAAAAGAGGAAGAAAGACCAAATGCTCAGAAGTATTCCTCAGAATTGATAAAATGGGAAGGATTAAGTGGAAGTTACGTAATTTCCTAGTTAATACCACAATGTGTCAGTGCCACTCAGCTCTGCTGTAAATACCACACTATGCCTATCCAAGAATTGAGGGAAACCGTAGGGATAAAGGTAAGCCTGGTTCCAAAAAGAACAGCTGGAGAAAACCCCAGGCAGGGGAAAGGTCCCTGAGGTCCCCAAGAGAAGAGAGATAAGAAGGAACTTAAAATGGAGAATGCTGAAACTGTAATTTCTTTCCTACCAATAGATTTTAAAAAACAAAGGGCGCTGGCTGGAGGTAGACTAAGGCAGGGGAAGAATGGGAACATCTGTAATAGTGTTAACAAAAAAAAATAAAGTTACAAAGCAAAGGAAAAATAGAACTTAGTAACAGAATTTGCTGTACAATAACTTGGCTAGAATACAGCACTGGGTATCTTTTATTTTTTAAGATTTTAAAATAATAAATTTTTATTGAATTGAGAGGAAGGGAGAGGAAGAGAAAGATAGAAACATCAATGATGAGAATCATTGATTGGCTACCTCCTGCAAGCTCCACACTACGGATTGAGCACGCAACCCGGGCATATACCCTGACCAGAATCCAACTGTGACCTTCTGGCCGAGCAGTATTGAGTATCTTATTTTTAAAAGTAAAAGATTTGGGGGAAAGGGGAGTTCAGTTTTGAAAATGTAAGCAATCTGTTTTTGCTAAAGGTTTATTAATAACGTAGGTCATTTTGAAGGTTGTTCTTATATACAAATCTCAATTTTTAGGATGAAATACAATTTTGTTTCCAAAACAGACATTATAAACTCTTTTTCTTTTGTCTTCAGTTTCCACAAATGATTTTGAATCATACACCAATGAAGAAATAAAGGAAGATTTTCTAAGTAAGTGTATGCAATCAATGTCAATTGAAGAACAGGGAGAACATCTGATGTTAACTTGACAATCTTGTCTTATGTATTGATAATGTGCCAAAGGTAGGGGTAGGGGTTGTGAATTGATACTGTTATTCACCATTAAGTCATTAAGTCATTTTGGTTTGTTCAGAAATGTTTAAACCATGTAATTGGTTTGATGTAGTTCCATGTTCCAATGATATTTGTGTAATAAAGTCCCTGTGTAAATATATGCTTTTATTTCTAGCTAGATACAATTAAAATTTTTGTCACTTAAAAATTGAATTATTTTTTCTTTAAATCTGACAACTACATTGTATAATTCTCTCTGTGTTTACAATAAGTCCTAAAACAGCAACATTAAAATATCTGACAAATATTTTCTTGATTTGGCTGAGGAAAAGTCTTGAAATATCCTAATATGGCATAGCATTTAATAGAGATAACACCCTGGATTGCAAAGAAGATGCTTAATAAATATTTGCTGCTTGAATACAACTTAAAAATGGAAATGTCAGTTTGCCCTATTTTATGAAAATTGCTACAAAAACACTTGGCCTCTCAAACTAGATTAAGTTGGGGTGGTGGTACTAATGAGAGGATTCTTTACATTATATATTCATTCTAGGTTGCTTCCCTTCTAAACATTAGTGTTAAAAATTTTTTTTGTTAAAACTTGAAAAATAGGGCAATTTAAAGCAACAGTTTGAAGGATCTCTCCTGATTTAATATGTCCATATGGCATATTATTTAGAAAATGAAATCAGAGTCCAACATTATGACCCAGAATATTCTAAGAAATGAGAGAGTTCTAAAGTTATTTCATCACTTCAATGCTTGTCCACAGTTTCATTTGGTCTCTCATTTTTATGGTTTTTAAAAATTAAAACAGATTATCAAGAAAGTATAAATGAAAGGTAACTTTATTACTGGAGAAGAGAAAAATGTATACAAGAAAGTCCAGATTCTTTTCCCTCATGCACTACTTTTATAATAAAGTTCTAAATATCAACTCTGAAGGTATTTACAATGATAAGTTTTTCTTAACATGTAACCATTTACTGTGTGGGGGACATTTTTTCATAGAAATCATATACTTAAACTAAATAAATTCTTATAGTTTACAAGAAGCTTAGACATTGTATTAACAGAAGACGATACATTTTACTGCAAAATATTATAAAAGTTGATACAATTTTGTGGCTCTTAATTGTTTCATTACTTGATTTGAACAGGGGAATTAATAAGAAACAACAACAACAGAAAAAATCAAGACAGGCCTGGCTTTATGATTTTTTGTATTCGATTCGTTCTACTTTCACATCATCTCCAATTAGCTGATACACATAAGTGACAACTGTAGAAGCCTGGATATCCATCAACACAAATGAAGGAATAATGTTTCTGGAAGGAGATATAAGCAATGTCAGTGTTTTGTACTAAAAAACCACAGCACTATAAATTTCAATTTAATATGACAATTTGGATTCAAGGAGAAATCTGGTTGTTACATATTAAAAAGAATAATCACCAAAAGAAGATGGCCAGAAAGGCTATATTTAAATGGTTGCATTTCTCTTTTATGAAATGTCACACATGCAATTATTAAATTTATAAAAACCCCAAATTCCCAAATTACATACTACTCACGTTTCCAAGGCATTATATGCTCCAGTGGCAGAACCTGGGTTAATGTAGAATTTATTTTCATGCTCAAATGCTTCAAATTTGTGTGTGTGTCCTGAGATAAGAATGTCCACATCAAACTGCCTCTGCAACAGGGCTAAGCTGGCCATATCTCCCCATGGAATAACTTGATGTCCATGGATCAAACCAATTTTGAACTGCCCAACAGTCACAACTTTCTGTTCTGGATAATTCAGATTCTAAAATAAGAAATAAACATACTCATGTTTAAAAAACAACCTGCTTTTAAATATTCAGTCTCATATGGGTGTTTTGCTCCACAACCAACACTTTTATTAAATATGATTTCTTCTTAGTCTCTAAGGCTGCAACTATGCACATAACTGAAATTTCTCATGCAATACCTTGTGCTTATTTTTATAGAATATAGATTCTTTTGGGCATGCTGTAGAAAATGATTATCCCATCAAATTTCTGGGTTTCCTCTCCCTAAGAATCCTAGGCATATGGCCTGTACCCCAGGCTTTAGGTTATATAGATGATGACTTAAAATAATTTAAAATACATAGTACTTAGTATGAAACAGGCACTATTCTAAGGGCTTTATAAATATCAACCTACCTAATGCTTACAAACAATCCTAAACCTGGTGGTCATGGCTCAGTGGTTGAGCATCGACCTATGAACCAGGAGATCACGGTTCCATTCCTGGTGGGGGCATAGGCCCAGGTTGAGGGCTAAATCCCCAGTGTGGGGCATGCAAGAAGCTAGCTATCTCTCTCTCCTCCTCCCTTCCTCTCTGAAATCAATAAAAATATACTTAAGGAAAAACAATCCTAAGAGGTAGATTCTATTCTGACCCCCATTTTATGGATGAAAAAAAATGGAGGCATGGAGAGGTTAAAATAACCTGCCCTGCAAGAACCGGTTTGGCTCAGTGGATAGAGCGTCGGCCTGCGGACTCAAGGGTCCCAGGTTCGATTCCGGTCAAGGGCATGTACCTTGCTTGCGGGCACATCCCCAGTGGGGGGCGTGCAGGAGGCGGCTGATCGATGTTTCTCTCTCATTGATGTTTCTAACCCTCTATCCCTCTCCCTTCCTCTCTGTAGAAAATCAATAAAACATTTAAAAAAAAATAATAACCTGCCCAAAGTCACACATTAATAAGTGGTTGAGCTACCAGGGTTTGGTAGCATGGCTTCAGGGATTGTGACCTGAGCAAATTTGTAGCAAAAATTTTGAATTCTTGCTACTGAAACTGTTATTTTTTGTTAATCCTCACCCGAGGCTATTTTCCCATTGATCTTTTAGAGAGAGTAGAAGAGAAAGGGAAAGACAGAAACATCGATGTGAGAGAAATACATCGATTGGTTGCCTCCTGCACGCCCCCTGACCAGGGCTGGAGCTAGAGAAGAGCCTGCAACCAAGGTACATGCCCTTGACCTGAATCAAACCGGGGACCCTTTGGTCCATGGTCAACGCTCTACTGAGCCAAACCGGCTAAGGCTAAAACTATTTTTAGTATAACACAAACAGAACCACTAATGTTTTTAACAAAGCAGACCTATATTCTAATTATTGACAAGAAGTTTGCCTCTTCCCTTCTCATTCCTGTCTTTCACCTCTGTGCAACCTCTAGTTTACCCAAACTTTTAAAAATCCACTAAAAAACAACAACACTCTGGTCATTCAGTTTGATATAAAGAGCCCCATTAAAAAGCAACAATAAAGTTAAATAATTTATGAAACAGTTTATATTCCCAGAAATAAAAAATAAAATTTTCAGACTCAGATTTTTAATTTAAAATCATACTATGTTAGGACTGGCAGGGGTTTTAAAAATCATCTATTCCAATCTATTTACACAGAAGGAAACTAAGACCAGAAAGAGGATGTAATGTGCCTAAAATCTCATTGTTAATTAATGGGCAAAGTTGGAACCCCAGAATTGCTAACTTTTTTTTCTTTATTATAGTCAGGTGTACTGAGGTATAATTTACATACAGTAAAATTATCCTTCTTAGTATATAATTCAAGGTGTTTTGACAAATGCATATAGTCATGTAAGCACCACCACAATCAAGATATAAAACAATTCTATGACCTCCTCAAAACTTCCTCCTGCCAGTACTTTATAGTTAACCCTGGTGACAGAGAGCCATGGTAGGCTCTTCAACAGATCAGTGATGTGATCTTTACTTAAAAAGGATCACTCTGCTACCTCGAGAACAAACTGTGGAGGGAGGAAGGGTAAAATGAGGAAGTTGGGATATAGGAAAGTGATATGGTCCTTGGAACATGGTAGTAGAGGTGATGGTGGTGGTAAGAAGTTCATAACAAAAACTTTATAAACTAAATGATAATACTACAAAAAATAGTGACAAAACTACTTTTACTCCGTATCAATTTAGTTAGAACAAGTACTTAATATGTTTATTGAGCAATCTAAAATTCAGTGATTTTCCAACAGGAAGGAGGGGTATGTGTAGTAATTTTATATTTGGGGGGGAAAGAGACCTTAATAGTTGAGAAACTAGTCTAAAGGATAAAGCTTTATACGTGAAAATCAAGAAAAGGAAATATTGTGAAAGAAAGGGAAATACATCACCTCATCGAAGTCTCCTCTCACAATATGAACGTCACCAGCCAGAGTCTTGAGATAGTCATAACTCTCTTTGGTGCAAAGGTTTCCAGTGCAGAGAATGTGCTGAATCTTTCCTGGTACTAGCAGCTTTTTGAACTTAGCTGGCAAACTGTTGCACCGGTGTGGGATGTGCAGGTCTCCTAATACCAACACCAACTTTAAAGTGTCAAGGTGAGACAAGGTGTAATGTTAAACATTATGTCAAAACAAGATACTCTCTTCCAATAACCCCCTTTTAAATTAAACTAACCAGAGATTCCAGAACACAAAGGAGCAGAAGTTATTCATACATTTCCTTATCATAACCATTTAAACAAACACACATATCACACATGATAATGTACTCTGTTCTTAAAATCTCATGGATTCCAGGAACATTAATAAAGAGAATTGTTAAAAATGAAATGATAGAGCCCTGGCCAGGTGGCTCATTTAGTTGGAGTGTCATTCAGTACACCAGAAGGTTGTAGGTTTGATTCCCAGTCAGGACACATACCTAGGTTGCCAGTTTGATCCCAGGTTGGAGGCAACCGATCAATGTCTCTCTCACATGGATGCTTCTCTCTCACATTGGTTTTTCCCTCCTTCCCTCCCTCTCTCCTTTACTTTCTCCAAACATATCCCAGGGTGAGGATTAAAAAAAAAAGTAATGATAAAAAAATTAATTCTATAATTTATGTTTACTAGCCTGACAACTATTTGGAGGAATAATAGCCAAAATTTACAATATTTGCTACTTAAAACTACTAGCTACACATTACAGAGGAATAAAAACAGCCTATGTTTTATAAAGTTTCAATAGGACAAATGTGTACTTTTCAATACAAAAGTACTTAGAGATAATAATAATCTTTATCTTCTCTTTCATTAGAAATCCTCACTGTCATATATTCATTGTCTAGATTAAATTGCCTATGTGTCCTCAGTTTAGTTTCCAAACTTAAAATAACATTTTCACAATCTTTCATGTGCATTAGAGCATTAAAAAAAGTCAGTTAAATAAGTGATGAATTTAGTAGGAAGTGGTTTAGAGTTGCAACAAAAAAATTTACACTTTAATATAAAAACATCTCAATCCTGTAATATGTTAATGATTTTACATGTAAATATTATTTAACTAAGTCACTTAACAGAAGAATATATTTAAAAAGGTCATCCTATCCTATATAATAAAGGCCTAATATGCTCAGTGTCCAACGTTCATTCTACCATTCAACCAGTCGCTATGACATGCACTGACCACCAGGAGACAGCTGCTCCAACTGGTAGGTTAGCTTGCTGCTGGGGTCCGGCCCATCAGGACCGGGCAAGCAGACCTGATATGCCCTGGAACCCTCTCGTGGTCCCTCCCCGGGCCCTGATCATGCACTGGTGGGGTCCCTTGGCCTGGCCTGCGCCCTCTTACAATCCGGGACCCCTGGGGGATGTCAGAGAGCCGGTTTCCGCCCGGTTTCCGCCCAGTCCCCACAGGCCAGGCCCAGGAACCCCACCGATGCCTCTAGTTTAAAAATATCTTCCCTCCAAAGGACAACAATTTCATGTTGATTAGTATAAGCACCTTCTTTCTATGACAACATGTTTTCCGACACAGACGTCCCATCCATAAATGTACATGCCCTTTAACTGCTTTTTAAAAAGGTATGATGACTATTTCTTATTATCAAAGAAAACATTAAATATCTAAAATAAGATAAAACAAAAGTTTTGTCACCACTGACTTTGTAAATTGAAATTAATCAAAAACAAAATGTGCAAAATTAAAATTATTAAAACAAGCTTGATTCATCTTGCAACAAATATCAAAATGATTACAAAGGAAAGGAACTATTCAGGATGTAGAGTAACTGCAGTCAAATTAGAGCATTTTAAAAGAAGTTGTTAAATAAGTTTCTTTATAAAGACTAGATTCAGCTGGTATTTGCTCAAGGACTTATATTGTTTCAATCCAGATGGGTAAAACATCTGTAAAACTAAAACCACCATGAAGTTTTGACCTTCATTGGTAATGAATACAAAAGTACCTAGGGATATAACAATCTTCATCTTTAGAGGGAGATCCCTTCAGATATGTATTGAGGTGCATAGTTAATGTGGGAAGCTGGCATTTGAAAAAAAGGTAAAGATATCCTTATTAAAAAAAAAAAAAAGAATAATCTCAAACTCATAAAAGGGTATATGTCTGTAACAGGTTGAAAATGTTTGGGACTGCCCTAGCTGGTTTGGCTCAGCGGATAGAGCAACGGCCTGGTGACTGAAGGGTCCCGGGTTTGATTCCAGTCCCAGTCAAGGGCACTTGCTCGGGTTGTGGGCTCGATCCCCAGTTGGGGGCGAGCGAGAGACAGCCAATCAATGATTCCCTCCCATCACTGATGTTACTATTTCTTTCTCTTTCTCCCTTCCTCTCTGAGACCAATAAAAATATATATTTTAAAAATATATACATATATTTTTTAAAAAATGTTTGGGACTAATAGTGAATGAGTTGTTCCATCTGAATGAACTAAAAAGAACATTTGTAAGAAATGATACTTTATAATGACTGATAACCTAAATTCTATAATGTACTGTGGATTATGCCCGTGTGCCCAGATATCAGCATTCTAAAGTTATAACTGTATGAATGACCACACAGAAATTATTTAAAATTAGTAAGGGTCCTAACTAGGACTCTGGTTTCCTGCAAGTGACAAAGTTATAAGGGAAATAGTGTCACATAACAAATATCAGACTTTGAGGAATGTCCTTGCCCAAATCCCACACTTTGACAGTTCAGGTTAGACATAGATTATAGTCTTTTAAGACAGCAAAAGATCCTGGAAATGGCAGTCTTGTTAAATTCAAATAAAGAACCAACCCAATCAAAGCATAGGAATTTGGCTATTTCCTATCTGATAGCCTATAAGAGGGTGAAAATCCCAGTAATCAGACACCCAACCACCATTATTAGGAGGAGCTAAGAGAAGAAACTTACTCTGTGCCCAGCCTTAGTGGAATGAAGAAGTTGATTGCAGACAGGGGGAATGAAAAAAAAGGGTGAAACATGACCAATGTTAAAAGAAAGCAACAAAAAGAAACAAACCCAAAAAAACTCATATCAAATGAATATGCAAACAATTGTTAATGATTTCTGAGTGTTATGAAAGAAAATGTTAAAAATCAGCTTTGCTCAAAATACCAAAAGAACCATTTGCTATATTTTAAACGTGACACATACGCGCATGCATACATACTTCTAAAATTTTTTGCCTTGTCAGTTTTTTTCCTAATCTGATTCTCCACATGACTCTCATACCCTTTCATTTCCTGTTTACGTAGCATTTTACAAGACAATTTGGAAAATTAATCAGTTGTAGCTTTAACGAAAGCTAACCTTTTCTACATTCTTATGGCCTAATTATTCCTCAAGTATATTGATCTTAATTGTGTTAAAATTCTAGTTGTAAAATTATGCTGCAGTTTGGGTCATTATTTTGTATAGCTGATCTAATGTAGCACTACAAATACATTATCAAGTGATGAAGTCACCAACTAACGATGATAAAAACAAACACATTCCTCTCCACATAAAAATGGACCTTCCCCACACCTCAATTTGCTGCCTGTGGACTCTTGGATACTACCGCGTGTTGAATGTTTCTAGTCCCCTTTACCAAATAAAAGATGGGCTAATGCTACATTTCGCCCAGTTCTTTCCATTTGACATGAAAAATGATGCGCTGGTGCAACTACCCTAAAAAAAAAAATGTTAACCTCTCAACAAAAACTGATACATGTCAAGAAATTTCATCTTCATAAAGTGAAAGAAAAACCGGGGGGGAAAAAAAAAGAAATTTCGTCTTCTCCCAAGGATCAATGTCTCAAAATCACTGTAAAATGTGCTCTAAGCTGGAGTCTGGTTTAGAAGCAAAAATCAAAAGTAAGATGAAAGCTTTTCACATTTATAAGGAAGTATATACCATAAGTCTTTGTCATGTCCATACGCCACCTCAAAAGCTATGCTTGCCACAGAATCGTGATAAACCTTAAAAATGCAATGGATACCCATCAGAAAGGAAAGTTCCTTTACAGTTAAATCTCATCAACACCAACACCAAGGTCATCAGAGCTCCTTCTGAAACTGTTCTGCCCCAGGAGTTCCAGTTCTAGGGCGTCAAGAGCACCTCAGGAAACGGATCACAGCCATGAGCCCCACCAGCAGCAGGACGGTCTCAGGGGCAGCAACCTGCCGGGGTGAGGGGGTGACGGGCCGGCCTGGTGGCAGGTTGGGGCGACCTGACGAAAGACTAAAGCAAAGCTCCCCAAACTACCCCCTTAGCACCAAACACTGGCCCTTTACCCAGAAAGACGTACAGAGTCTCCACATTCTCCAAAAAATGTCAAGGAGTTCCCAGGTCATTAAGGAATCCTACTCTAAAAGGTCGCAGCATCCTAAGTACACAAGGAGTTTCGGCAATTCCAAGAGCCAAAACTGCAGTCCTCTGAGAGCGCGCTACCACGGCGCAATGGCAGCTGCACGCTGTTTCAGGGCGAAAGGGATCGTTTGCACCCCCTTTCCCCACATGGCAAACCAAGCCGGGTAAGGGATTCTGCTCGCTACTTCCCGTTTGCTTCTGAGAAACCAGCTTTCGCCAACTGGGGGGGTCGGGTTCGGGGGGGCGGATAACTTGTACACCCCAACCAGCGGGGTAGATACACGGGAACGTCTGGAGACGGAGGGGGACCGTGCCCCTTCCTCGGGAACGGCCGAAGCACAGGCCCAAAGGCCTTTCCCCGCTCGGGCGTGTGGGTCTCGCGACAGGACTCGCAGATGAGAGGGGCCTCCTTCCCCCTCGGACGTCCTCCGGCCCCTGGGGCGGGGGTACAAGGCCGGAGCCGGCTTCACCCAGCAGTGGCCGCTCCCTTACCTCCCTGGCCCTCCCCCCGGGCCTTCCCAGGCCCGGCCTGAACCGCGCCCACCCAGGCCTCCGGGATCGCCTCGACCCTCGCCCAGAGACTCCCAGCCGCTCCTACGACGCAGCACCCCGGCCGAGAGCCAGGCCTCGGTCGCCGCAGTTGCCATCCTCACCATCCTGTCACTGGGCTCCGCTCAGTCACCACAACCGCCGCCGCCCTCTTCCTCAGACTCCTCGGAGGCCCGCCCACTTCGCTCACAACCAATGAAAACAGAGGTCCACAGGAGACCGCGGTACGGTGGCCCGCCTAGGCTCTTTCCCGCCGTAACGCGAAGCTACTTCCGGGGATGGAGGGGAAGTGGAAGGGAGGGAGGAGATCTCGAAGCTTCTGAAGGCGCGGGCAACATCCGGGAACCTGGGGCGTCGAGTGGTGGCGCTCTTGCGACTCAGCTTGTTAGGGCGCACAACCATGCTGAAGTGCGGGATGAGCGGCAGCCAGGTCAAAGGTGGAGCGGCCTTTTTTCCCTTCCTGCGGAGAAAGAGGGAAAGCCTGAGGGTTCCGGGGGCGTTCCGCCATCATCTTATTCTTCACCCTTTGCTTTTATGCCTAAGGGCTGAGGACACAAAGTCTGGCCACAACCAGCCCCCGGCCCCCATGGCCCTGTTCGTTTCCGAGGGGAAGATGAAGGCCCATGTGCTTTGATTTCTGCTTAATATTTATTTTCATAGGTGTCTACGAAATGAAGCGGCACCATCGGGACAGAGATGGGGAGTGTGGGCCTCAAAATCGGGATGAACTGTGGGGCAGAGTTGAGGATAAAAAATAATGCTTGGACATGAGAAAAACAAACCAGTTCTTTATTTTAGCCTACCATTTTTATTTATTTTTTAAATTTCATTTTTATTTTATTGTTGACAGTACTACAGATGTCTCCCATTTCCTCCCCCCCCCCCCTTTACCCCCCTCCGCCCAGCCCCAACCCTACCATTTTTTTTGATTTATGACCTGGGATAAGCTACAGAATCACCTTAGGGCTCAGTTTCTCGTCATCAGTAAGATGACAAATAGCATGTTTGTTGTAGCGATGAAAGGAATGCATGTAAAGAGCTCAGTAAATGGGAATGTACAGGGACAATTATAAACTGGAGGCCTGATGCTCGAGATTCATGCCCCAGAAGGGTCCCTAGGCCTGGCCTGTGATCAGGGCCAATGGGGCCTCCCGCCCCCTGGCCGCCCCCTGGTGGTCAGCACACGTCATAGCGAGCCGTTGAACTCCCGAGGGGACAATTTGCATATTAGCCTTTGATTATATAGGATGGTACTTTAAACATGTAAATTACTCCAGAAAATCTGTATTTGGAAAAGCAATGGTTTCCTACAAACTGTAACCTGAAAAATGATCATGGAAAGGCATCTTGCAATGCAGCTGGCTTCCCTGTGTTGAGGACTTCTGTGGAACAGTATGGAACCGGAAGTTCTCAATTCTTAATGAGCAATTATTTACATGATTGTTTAATTATGTTGGACTGTAAACACTGTGAGGGCAGGAACTATTCTTGTCTTGTTCATCCCTATACCCCGACTGCCCTGGGGTTGTGCTTGGAACATTGTAGGTGTTCAATAAATATTCATTGGCTGAATGAAAGGTCTGCATTAGGCAGCTCCAGGGGGAAAAGTGAATGTGAAGTGGGAAAAAGGGGCAAATGCATCTATCTTTCCCCCCAGTCATCCAATCTTTCTCAGTTTGAGGTCCACACTCCCAGCTCACATACTTATGATTAAGCCTTATAATCTAATTTTATGTTCTGGAATTGTTTTCCCTTTTGTGTACTTTTCCATACATTGATATGGCCATCTATGTTTATTTTGCAGCATTTCATTCCATATCTGTTTGCCACATTTTTTTACTTATTAATAACTCATGAGGACATTGCAAGCGTCATGCCAGGTCAGACCAGTTTTCATTCAGCCCTATTTTTTAAAATATATTTTTATTGATTTCCGAGAAGAAGGAAGAGGGAGAGAGAGACATCAATGATGAGAACCATTGATTGGCTGCCTCCTGCACACCCCCCACTGGGATTGAGCCCGCAACCTAGGCATATGTCCTTGATCAGAATCGAACCTGGGACCCTTCAGTCTGTAGGCCGAGGCTCTATCCACCGAGCCAAACTGGCTAGGGATAGCCTCTCTTTCTGAAAGGACATCTAAGTATGTTTGGTGGGAAGATTTGGCATCTTTCATGCAACCCTCAAACATCAGAGATGCATCTTGAGAGCCTCTACTTTATCTCATGACTTGCTTTGACTTTGCTTCCAGTCAAGTTATTAAAAACCTTCAAACCATCCTCTCCATTCTTTGTTTTTACACTTTTCCCAGGGTGGGGTAGGGGAAGATACAAGTTTTAAAATACATTAGTATGGGAGGAAATTGGCTTGCCACGGTAGTTCCATGCAACACTGCAAACATGCAGAAAGGAAGAATTTTGTTGCATGTTATTTCATATACTCATTCTTTGAATTTATTGAGCTCTTACTATTAACTTGGCATTTTGCCAATAGTATTATACTGTGTTTCTTTTTAAAAAAAATATTGTTGAAAGTATTACAGAGGTTCCCTCCCCCCGCCCAACATTGACCTTCTCCACCCTGCTCTCACTCCCCCAATGTATTTCTTAAAGCAATTTGTAGTATTAGTCTATAAACACTGTTCTTTATGAATTTAAGTCCCATGAATGCTGAAGTAGACCTATGATTTGTTTTTGTTTGAGAGAAAGAATATAAGCAGCACCTTTCTTTTTCTCTGTAGTCTTTGGGAAAGCAATCCAAGCTCTATCAAGAATTAGTGACGAGCTGTGGCTAGACCCATCTGAAAAAGGTGTAAGTAAGAAAGTTAACTCATAGACCATTCATTTATTAAGACAAAAGAAGTTTAAGATTCCAGTACAGATTGTATGTTAACTAGGAAATCCAGAAATTGTAATTATCCTTTTCACTGTTCATATTTATTGTACATATCTAAATATATTTAGAACAGCGATTTTCAACCATTTTCATCTCATGGCACACATAAACTACTAAAATTTTTTGGCACACCAAAAAATACATTTTTTGCTAATCTAACAAAAAATAGGTATAATTTTGATTCATTCACACTGGATGGCTATTGTGTTGGCTGTTATCATTGTTTTAAATTTGACGGTCTAAGGAAAAAGAGGTCAGTGCCCCTGAATAGTCATGTATTACATGTTTTAAAAATTCTTGCAGCACACCCATTGAAAAGCATTGATTTTGAGCATAGAAAATTTTTAAATCATGCAGATAAACACAATTAATTTAAATCAAAAGTCACAAACTGGTGGTCAAGGGGCTAGATAGGGCTTGTACAAGTGTTTTATGGGGATTGCACTGTGTTTTTTAAAAATTGAAATTATTTTTAACAGTTAAAAATTGGGAGAGTCCACATAAAAATCTGAATTTCCTGTTTCTCTTGAAAACTCAAGAAGATCTGACAGTTTGGGGCCTGTATTCCCAAGTGGAAATAGTTGGCTGAGACTAACAGTTTCTCCCCTTAGAAAAGGCAAGAGATCGCCATTTTGCTGTGAACTCTTTTCACTCCCTTTTATATTGCCTTCTGCCACTTTGCACATTAAAGTTAAGGCCCCTGTAGGCATTTGTAATTTTACAATTTCAACATGCAAAATTTTAGATTTAATACCTATATATATTCAATATAGATATGTATACATATGTGTATGCATATGCAAATTTAATATACAGTGTATAAATGCAGTCCATATAATACAATTTATAGCCATATAATGCAGTTAACCTTATTTGAACACATTTAATTGCTATACTAAACAAAATAGAATTTTTTTAATTAATCATTTAAAGAACATTTTTTTTTCCTTAATAGCTTTTTTTTTTCCCCAGCTTGCTTTAAGGTCTGTGAATTCTTGTCGCTCAGCATACGGATGTGTCCTCTTCTCTCCTGTGTTTTTCCAACATTATCAATGGTCAGCCTCAGTAGATATGAATAATGGCACAAAATCAAATTTAAATTGCAAATTGGGAATTAAGGTAAATATAAGTGGCCCTGGTTGTCTCTTATATTGTGGAAATATTCGGTATATCAGACAGAACATCTATTCTGTACTTAATACTTGGTTTAAATGGCAGGTAGGACAAATCTATTAATTTATGAATATGCATACTCTTCTTTTGTTTGTTTTTAAACTAATTAAACAATCATATTGAGTATATGCTGTTCCATAATATATTTGTATTACAGTCAATTCTGCCCATCTTTAGATGTCTGAATTCCCTCGAAAGAAATGTAGAGATGTGCAAAATATTCACCAGATCTGATAAGTGCAAAGTAGTCATTCAATTATTCTGCAGACATGGTAGGTATTATTAAAACTAATGTATTGTATGTTTCTTGTTAATATTTTTATTTTTAGAATATTCAGACTGCATGTCAAGAGTTCCCATTACATTATTGCTTAGAATTTGTGTAGTTTTATGGTAGGGCAGTTGGAAGTACTTGAAAAATATTATCTTATTTGTCTCTGTAGAAGTATTGTGAGATGATTGGTATTATTTCTTGTCAGTGACACAAGCTTTGCCTGCATAAACCAATTTTTAATTTAAACAATTGGTTGTTCTCAAATTAATTGGCTGCTTGATATTCTGTAAGAACGCCTTGGTAACAGTGTTCCTTGGTAAGAACAAAAAAAGAATAATTCCTGCTTTAGCCGGTTTAGCTCAATGGATAGAGCCTGGGGTTCGATTCTGGTCAAGGGTACTTACCTTGGTTGCAGGCTCCTCCCCAGCCCCAGTCCTGGTCAGGGCTTGTGCAGAAGGCAATCAATCAATGTGTTTCTCTCTGTCTTTCCCTCTCTCTTCCACTATCCCTAAAAAAATCAATGGAAAAATATCCTCAGGTGAGGATTAACAAACAAACAAACAAAATAATATTTCCCTCTAGGCTGAAAGAAGCACGGTAACTGGCTCAAGGTCACAGAACTAGTAAGTCGTAGAGCCTGGATTTAAGTCCTGCCCCACAATAGTAGAAGCAAAACCTTCACTCATTCTCTCTGCCACACCAACCTATAAAACAGATTTCTTGCCTGCCGGCTTTGTGTGGTCAATATTCGAATGTTGTACTCATAGGACTTTTACATGCTTGAGTATGTATAGCCTGGTGATTAACAGCATGGGCTCTGGAGGCCATAAGGCAGCGGTTCTCAACCTGTGGGTCACGACCCCTTTGGGGGTCAAACAACCCTTTCGCAGGGGTCGCCTAAGACCATCGGAAAACACATACATAATTATATATTGTTTTTGTGAGTAATCACTATGCTTTAATTATGTTCAATTTGTAACAATGAAATTGGGGGTCACCACAACATGAGGAACTGTATTAAAGGGTCGCGGCATTAGGAAGGTTGAGAACCACTGCCATAAGGTCTGGGGTAAAACTCCTGCTCTGCCCCTTCCTTGCTGAGACCTTGGGCAAATTATTTTACATCCCTGTGTCTCAGTTTCTCAATATATAAATTGGGGATAATGTTAGTACCAGCTTCCTAGGGTTTTTGTGAAGATTCAATGAGTTTTCTAGGAAGTTATAGTTCTAAACTGTTTAAAAGAATGCCTGGGCCCTGGCCAGGTAGCTCAGTTGGTTAGAGTGTTGTACTGATGTGCCAAGGTTGTGGGTTGAATCCCCAGTCAGGGCACATACAAGAATCAACCAATGAATACATAAATAAGTGGGACAACAAATCAATCTCTCTCTCTCTCCCTCTCTCTCTCTCTCTCTCTCTCTCCCTCTCCCCTTTCCCACCTCTCACTCCCTCTCTCTCTCTCTCAAATCAATAAATATAAAAAGAATGCCTGGCACATTTGTAAGTGTTAGCTCTAATTATATCCATTATGAATGCTGGTATCTTAGTTGAAGTTAGTAGGTAAAATTGTATGCTTTAAAAAATCTTTGCTAAGGTTGTGGGTTCGATCCCTAGTCAGGGCACATACAAGAATCAACCAATTAATGCATAAATAAGTGTAACAACAAATCTATCTCTCTCCCTCTCTCTCTTCCTCTCTCTCTCTCTTAAAAATTGATCAATTAAAAACATTTTTTAAAATCTTGTACTTAAGACATTGATCCAAATCTTTTTTGTTAGTAGGTACTACTCAGTAAATATTTATGAAATTATTAAATGTTGCTGTTATTACTTAAGTAAAAAAATAAATTGAGAAATGTTATCTTTAGTAAGTCCTTTTGATTCACACAGCAACATTATTATGCTGTAGAAAGTTATAGCCCACTGGATTTTATTGCATGGGCTCTATATTTCAATTTAGATTCAAATTCTAACTATACAGTTAAGTTTCCACCTAATGTCTTTGGCAGGTGAAAGAACATATAACTGAAACCAATTTTACCATAGGCTCGTTGGTATAAACAAGATTTAAGTTCCTATGGCATCTCATCAAGTTATAATGAAATGACTTTGAATGAAAAACATTATTCTAGGACCTGCAGTATTTGCTCAAAAGGTATATAGACTTGCCTGGCTGAGTGTCGACCTATGAACCAGGAGGTCATGGTTTGAGTCCCGGTCAGGGCACATGCCCGGGTTGCGGACTTGATCCCTGGTGCAGGAGGCAGTCAATCAGTGATTCTCATTATTGATATTTCTATCTCTCTCTCCCTCTTCATTCCTCTCTGGAATAAATTTAAAAATACATATTTTTAAAAAGCATAGCCTTGAAAAGTCATTTAGCCTCACTGAGTTATTGTTTCCTCTTCTGAGATTAAGTACCTGCCCTATAGGGATATTGTGTGGATCAGAGGTAATGTATGTAAAATGTATACCTCATTTCCTGGCATCTAGGGCCATAGCCATTACTGCTACACATTTTTCTCAGAGGAAAAGAATCCACAGGCTAGATGTTCAGTTTTATATTCCAAAGGTCCCATTCAGAAATATCAGGCCTGGATGACAGATACTGAATAATAGATAGCTGAGCTGTAGTGGGCAATCACTATTTTACACACAATTTAAGAAATTATCTGTATTTCAAAAGAATGTGGGAACTCTATTGCCTGCTTGGTGAGATGGTCTGACATATTGCCTGGTGTCCACTAGGGAGCGATAAACACGTTCATTAAGGAATAGTGGTTCTCCATGCTGTGTGCACCTGCCAGATATTAAATATAACTTTACTTATATTATTTTAATTTGGCTGTGAAACTTTAAAACTTCTTAATATTTTAATTTTGAACTTAAAATTAACAGGTTGTTTATTCTTTTGAAGGTATTAAAAAGACTCACAATGTATGTTTTCAAGAAAGTCAGCCTTTGCAAGTTATTTTTGAAAAGGATACGTGTAGTAATACACTAGTGATTCAGCCAAGGTAATGAGTTCTCTGTTGATTCTTTTTCTGAAAATAGTATGGTTACAGAGTAAAGAATTAATGTCCTAGAGCTTTTAAATAAGTCACTTTTTTGTTTTAAAGCTAACACTGGACTTGGAGAAATCACCATATAGGATCAAGAGGAAATCTTGATAAAGATAATAGTGTATCAGTGATTTTCAACCTTTTTCATCCCACAGCACACATAAACTAATTACTAGAGTATTAGTTTTTGGTTTGAATCACATCAAAAAATATATGTTTTGCCCTGATCGGTTTGGCTCAGTGGATAGAACATTGGCCTGCAGACTGAAGGGTCCCAGGTTCGATTCTGGTCAAGGGCATGTACCTTGGTTTCGGGCACATCCCCAGTAGGAGGTGTGCAGGAGGCAGCTGATCGATGTTTCTCTCCCATCGATGTTTCTAACTCTCCCTCTCCCTTCCTCTCTGTAAAAAATTAATAAAGTATATTTAAAAATATATATATGTTTTGCTGATTTGACAAACAAACAAACAAACAAACAAAAAAGGTATAATTTTGACTCATTCACGCCAGACAACTATTGTTGTGTTGGCTGTTGTCATTTTTTTTTGAGATACATTTTTATTGATTTCAGAGAGAAAGGGAGAGGGAGATAGAAACATCAATGATGAGAGAAAATCATTGATCGGCTGCCTCCTGCACACACACTACTGGGGATCAAGCCCACAACCCCGGGCATGTGCCCTTGCCGGAATCAAACCAAGGACCCTTCAGTCCGCAGGCTGAAGCTCTGTCCACTGAGCCAAAACCGGCAAAGGCTGTTGTCATTTTTAAAAAATATATTTTTATTGATTTCAGAGAGGGAGGGAGAGAACTGTTGTCATTTTTTAAAAGTTGACAATCTAAGGGAAAAGAGGTCAGTGCCCCTGACTAAATAATCATGTATGGCATGTCTTAAAAATTCTTGTGGCACACTGGTTGAAAATTACTGTAATTGCCTAATGGTAGCAATAATAATTTAGTGGCCAAGAAAATTCTAAAAATATTCCATCAGTAGCTTTCTTCATCAAATGTTATCAGGAGAAAAATATATTCTCTAATATTTTGCATTTACATGGTGCCTTCTGTCTGAGTCTTAAAACACACAGCATAAGGAAATTGCAACATTTTTTATATGAACTGATTTTATCCTTAAGTATTTCCATTTTTTTCCTCTAGAGAATGAGTCAATGTACTCAATTTTTCAGTTAAGCCATAACATTAAACATTAGTTACTTTGTAAGCCAAAATATATTTTATCCCTGTTGTTTTTTAAATTACCAAAGAAATACATGTTCTCGAAATACATCTAAAATTTATAGAAGATTGCAAAGATTAAAAAATGAAAATCTTTCTCCTCTACCTGCCCTTTATTCCATTGGCAATGATAATCTTTATTAATAATTTGGTGTATATCATTCTAGCTCTTTTTTTTATAGCTATTTTGTTAAATTTATAGCCAATCTCTCTGTAATTCTCCCTATAATTATCGTGATCTCTTTTTCCTGCCTCTCAAATTTATATCACATACTTTATTATACATAGTTTTTTATAATATATTATACATAGTATTTTCAAAGAAAATGTCCCACTATTATTTTTGTTTGGCAACTTGTTTTTTTCAGTTTCTATGTCAGTTCACCTAAATCTATCTTATTATTTTTAATGACTATATAATTTTTCATTGTATGACTGATTGGTAATTTACTTATCCATTATCCTACAATACGATAGTCTCCCCTCCCCACAGTTGATTCCTAAAACTGCAGATAGTACCCAACCCTATATATATTGTTTTTTTCCTATGAATACAGACCTATGATAGTTTAACTTATAAATTAGTCACAGTAAGAGATTAACAATAACTAATAAAATAGAACAATTATAACAATATACTGTAATAAATGTTATATGAATGTGGTGACTTGCTCCAGGTCTTCCTATATACTCAATGCTTTCTGGTGCATTATGTTGTCGTCAGTCAGAACATGTTTTCTGCCCATGTCGTCCACCCACAAATTCAATGCCTTTTCCATCTTAACTAAGCACTACCACACCCACTGTGGCTGTAACTTTTGCAGTTCGAGGTGCAACAGCAAGACTAGCAGGAATTTCTTTTCCTTCTTTACAACTTCATAGGTATAAGATTTGTTCTTACCATAGATCTTAGCAACTTCAGCATATGACTTTTTTTCTTTCCTTATTAAGTTGAGAACTTTCATCTTTCCCCTTAAAGGAAGCACTTTTTGGCTTCTCTTTGGTATATCTGAATTGTCAGCATCACTACTCTTGCGATTTGGGGATATTAATAAGTAAAATAAGCACTGCAGTACTTGGACAGGCTAGCTGATGATAACTGTGATAGCTACTAAGTGATTAACGGGTAGGTAGCATATACAACGTGGAGACACTGGACAAAGGGATGAGTCACATCCTGGGCAGGATGGCACCGGATGGCATGAGATTTCATCACACTACTCAGAATGGCAAGCAATTTAAAACTTATAATTATTTCTGGAACTTTCCATTTAATATTTTCAGATCACAGTTGACTGGAGATAACTGAAATCCAGAAAAGTGAAACCTCAGATAAGGGGGAACTGCTGTATTGGTGAAAAAGGTTGTTTCCAACTTTTTGCCATCACAAACAATGCTGCTAGTAGTACATAGGGTAATGTGTTAGTTGTCTGTTGCTGTGGAGCAAATTTCCCCAAATCTTGGAGCCTTAAAAAACAGACATTTGTTACTTTGTACTAGTAAGTGTAGCTTAGCTGGGTGCATCTGGCTCAAGGTCACCAAGGTGAAGTTAAGCCATCAGCCAGGACAGTGGTCTTATCTGAAGGCTGTGGAGGGAGTTACTTCCAAGCTCACTGACATGGTTGCTGGGAGGCCTCAGTTCCTCACCAGACAAGCCTCTCCTTAGACTGCCTGAATGTACTCACTACATGGTGATGAGAGACAGAGACAGAGAGGGGGAGGGGAAGTCTCCCAAGATGGAAGCCATGGTCTTTTTATAACCTAATCTCAGAATTGCTCTCTTATACTTCTGCCATTTCTCTTTGCTAGAAGTGAATCTTAGCTGTCCAGCCCACACTCAAGGTGAGGGGATTTATATAAGACCTGAAAAAGAGGAGGTGGGATTATTGGGGCCTCTTCTAGGCTGCCAAACACAGATAGAGTCCTAGAAATCAAATTTCTGGCTCAAAGGCTTACAAATTTTAAATGTGCATACATACTATCAAATTGCTACCTGGAAAGTTTGTATCAATTTACATTCCCACCAAACTGTAGGAAAATCCTTCCAAGTAAAAGATATGAATGATCTTTTACATTTTTGCCAACATAATAGGTAGAAAATGGTATTATTAGAGTTCTTTGTTGTTCTTATTTCATTACTAGGGAGTTGGAGTATCTTTTCATATACTTATTAGCAATTGGTATTTTTCTTCCCTAATTGCACATTCATGTCATTTTTTAAATATATATATCAGGTTGTTTGGTATCTTGTACAAAACTTCCCCCTTAACACTGGAAACGTTTCCAGATGAATTTGGTAGGCGTTCCTCACATTTTGGCATCAAGAAACACTAATACCAACATTACAAAAATTCTAAGAATCTGTTTTGGTTTTTTTATCAAATAACACCTCAATTTCAAAAGTAGCTCAGAAGTTATAATGCAATAATAAAAAGGCAAATAACCTAACTAAAAAACAGGCGGAGGATTTGAATAGACATTTCTCCAAAGACGATATAAAATGGCCAATAAGCACTTGAAAAGGTGCTCAAAATTATTAATCATTGGGGAAATCCAAGTCAAACAACTTGAAATCTGTGAATTGTTTAGTAGGTTAATTATATCTTAATAAATCTGTTTTTAAAAAGGGAGCACAGAATGAAAAAGCACTGGGGTGTCAAGACAACCTTGAAAGTAATAATTAGTAATCAGGTCAAGTAACAAAGGGAAAGAGAATATAGGCAGCAGGCTGCTTGTAAACATCTACCTCTCAGCTGGGTCTCCAGCACTTACCCCAATTGTATTAGAATGGCTCCGTTTTCTACTATTTCCCTTAGGAGTGTGATCCCAGGCCAATTAAAGAAATTGTTACATAAAAAAGAACTAAAATCATTTTATTCTAGTGTTTGGTTTATCCTACAGCTTTCACATGCTTTACTAAGAATGCATCTTACTATTCTCTTGGCCTTTAAATTAAGTTACAGTTTCAAAATATACTAAAATATAGCAGCTCATATAAAAGAAGGAAGAAAAATTTACATTTTGGATAAATTTTTCTAAATCTAGGCCAACTAACCTATTTCTAGATTAAAGATTTAAGTCCCGCCCTAGCTGGTTTGGCTCAGTGGATAGAGCTTTGGCCTGCGGACTGAAGGGTCCCAGTTTCGATTCCGGTCAAGGGCACATGCCCAGGTTGTGGGCTCGATCCCTAGGGCAGGGGAGACATGTGGGAGGCAGCCAGCTGATCAATGATTCTCTCTCATCATTGATGTTTCTATCTCTCTCTCCCTCTCCCTCTCTGAAATCAATAAAAATATATTTTAAAAAAAGATTTGAATCCCATTAGAAAGCTGTTTGTTTACTTTCCAAAGGATGTAATATTTTTTTATTACATTTCCCAGAGTGCTTGCTGAGGCAATTGTTCTTTTCACATCAAGTCAAGAGGAAGTTACTCTTGCAGTTACTCCACTGGAAGTTTGCATTAAGAGTTCTACTGAGGAATCAATGGGTATGGATTATATCTGTCATAGTGCTTTAATGTAATATCACTTCCTGGTTTTCTTGATGACTAACCATGCAGTAAATATTAGTGGCATAATATTTATTTTTGTTTAAAAAGCAGTAAGATGTAGAAGGTCATTAAAATGTTTAAGAGAGCCAAGACCGGTTTGGCTTAGTGGATAGAGCGTCGGCCTGCGGACTGAAAGGTCCCAGGTTCGATTCCGGTCAAGGGCATGTACCTTGGTTGCGGGCACATCCCCAGTGGGAGGTGTGCAGGAGGCAGCTGGTCGATGTTTCTCTCTCATCGATGTTTCTGACTCTCTATCTCTCTCCCTTCCTCTCTGTAAAAAATCAATAAAAATACATTAAAAAAAAATGTTTAAGAGAGCCCTAGCCGGTTTGGCTCAGTGGATAGAGCGTTGGCCTGTGAACTGAAAGGTCCCAGGTTCGATTCCGGTCAAGGGCACATGCCCGAGTTGTGGGCTCGATCCCCAGTGGGGGACTTGCAGTAGGCAGCCAACCCATGATTCTCTCTCATCATGGATGTTTCTCTCTCTCTCTCCCTCTTCCTTCCTCTCTGAAATAAAAAATATATATATAAAATAAAATAAAATAAAATGTTTAAGAGATCCAGGATATTTACCCAGTCAGTAATTTAAATGCTTAGCTTTGAAATTCCAGTTGTTTTAAAATTAGGAGAATGGTTACTGAGAAAATTTTAAAGTTAAGATTTTAAAGTTTTTCTCATCCTTTATTATACTTTGTGTTTAGCATGAAGAAAAATTAAGATGCCAGCAATCCAATTGAGATGACCTTTGACTACATAAGAAAAAGTATATTTGAATTAGAAATGTAAGATATTCCAGGCAGCAAATGTATAGGGCAGAAAATGTGAATACTTCTTAAGTCAGCTCTTCCAAGAGTTATCTAGATGGAATGGAGAAACTAAGGCACTATCAAATCAGGAGTTTTGGTATCAGGAAAATTTATGGGGTCTTTTTGGCACAAGTTGTTTGAGACTCTTTGACCTTGGATACTTTTTTTGGTGATAGCAGTAAAGAAAGAATACAAAGGGAGGAACTGTATTATTTTAAAGTGAAAAACCAGTAGAACTGGGGATTAAGTTGTGTCAGGTGACTTTTGTAGTGTTTAGTTTGTGCCAGGTTCTGTTCTAAATGGTTTTCATTTCTGAATTCATTTGATCTTTGTAACAACTCTGTGATGTAGGTACTATTATGATCCCTCTTTTCCATCTGAAGAATATGAAGCACAGAGAAGCTAAGTGACTTGCTGGTGTCACATAGTTAGTTAGTGGTACCTGGTGACCTGAGCACAGGACACAAACTCATTTGTGCTATTATTGCTTCTCTCAGATCTCCTCTACATTCTTTCTTGGCACTCAGGAGTGCATGATCTGGGAAATATACACTTGACTAGTGAAGGGGTCTGGTTTATATTCCATAATGCCATCTCTGAATAAAGATGGCCATTTATAACCAGGAGACACTGTCTCTTATGAACAACTTTCTAATGAGTAGTTCTAGTTATGTTTGACTAGGGACCCAATTGTTTAATTCTATTATTGAACTTACTCTATGCTAGCACCCTGGAGTGACATGAGCCTTCTTGTTTGAGATGAATGTATTTGTAAGGTATTGTTTGGCCCTTTAAAAAAATGTATACCATTTATCCTTTGTTCTTATACTTACATAATTTATGTTCATTGAAGAAAATAATTTTTAAAAAGCACTAATATAAAAGTCACCTGAAATCCCACTATCCAGAGATGAGCACTTTTAATACCTGTTTCTATATTTCAGATCTAATAGGAGATGGATTGTGTGAAAGTAATGAAATGCCTTGAAGCTATTAAAAGTAATCTCATATTGTGTATATACACTCCTCTCTTTCTGAGAGTGTATATCAAAGATATTAATTGAAGCTAATTTTGTGGAAAACACAAGTGAAAAACAGGCAGTGGATTTGAACAGACATTGACATGGCTTGTAATTGATGCTGGGAACTCAGCTGGATTGTTGTCCAGAGTCCTTGCACTTTATGTGGCTTCTTCATATATGAAAGCATGAAGTCAGCATGGTGGCTGAGCTCCAAGAGCAAGTGTTGCAGGATAGAGGAAGTGGATAGAGGATAGATGGGGAGGCTACTAGTTGCTAAAGGTCTGGGCCCAGAAACCAGCACCAAATCACTTCATCATGTCCTATTGGTCAAAGTAGTCAGAGAGCCCGCCCACCCAGATTCTAGGAGAGGGGAAGTAGACATAGAACCCCTCTCTCAATGAAGGAATGTCACGGAATTTATGGCTATGTTTAACTTACCACGTAGGTTATATTTTTATATTCAAACTTAACAAATATCTCTAGAACTAATTTTATTCATTTTCCTACGATATTGAACAGATTTGAACAGTTCTGTATACAGTGAAATGTTTGTGGGTCCACATGAGTTTGAGTTCTTTCAAATTGGAGTTGACACTGAAATAACATTTTTGCTGCAAAGAATTGAAGGTAAAGAAAAATTCGTACAAAATTAAAATTTTCACTGATAGTTTTTAAGAAATATTTCATTTTTCTTCTTTTTCTTTCAGGGAATGCTGATATTTTCGGAAGCTACACATGCTCCTATAACCATGCATTTTGATTTTCCTGGGAAGTAGGTCCTTAGGGAACTTTTCTGAGTTTGTTTCTTTTTCTTTTGTTATATGTTAATAAAACTATTTTAATCACTTTGAAATTAATTCGTACCTTAGGAATTCCTTAACCTCGCTAGCAATACTTATCAAACTAAATTTTGAAAGATGCCATAACATAGTATTTTTTAATTGGTAACTTGATTGAGAAAGATATATGCTTCAATAGAGTGAAAACATTTATAAATTTGATAGGAATAAATTGCCTAATTAGAAAATAATACATGGCTTAAATCTCTGTGAAACTATGATACTTTATTTTTTTTTAATATATTTTATTGATTTCACATCCCCCATAGGAGATGTGCAGGAGGCAGCTGATCGATGTTTCTCTCTCATCGATGTTTCTAACTCTCTATCTCTCTCCCTTCCTCTCTGTAAAAAATCAATAAAATAAAAAAAAAAATTTGATAGGAATAAATTGCCTAATTAGAAAATAATACATGGCTTAAATCTCTGTGAAACTATGATACTTTATTTTTTTTAAATATATTTTATTGATTTTTTACAGAGAGGAAGGGAGAGGGATAGAGAGTTAGAAACATCTATGTTGAGGATGAGAGAGAAACATCGATCAGCGGCCTCCTGCACACCCCCTACTGGGGATGTGCCTGCAACCAAGGTACATGGCCTTGACCAGAATCAAACCTGGGACCCTTCAGTCCGCAGGCCAACACTCTATCAACCCAGCCAAACTGGTTAGGGCGAAACTATGATACTTTATATGATACTCCAGCACTGAACTTTCAAATGAGATTGGGTTTGGATAGCTGTTTTATAAAATTAGATCTGATGATTTCAGCTCTTAGCACTGTGTTAATCAGTGAGAACACTAAAAGGACTTCTACTTTTACTGTTTCTTTTTATTCCTGAATTAGATATAATTTTTTCATATTTTCCCAATGTCCATCAGAAAATGATTGTGATGTTTGCTCTGACTTTGCCTTTTTAGACCTATGGCTTTAAGTATTGACCATATGTTATTGGAAGCTAACTTTGTTTTGGCTACATTAGCTGATGAGCCAAGTAGAGCATCTTCTCCGCAATCATTGTGTCTGTCACAAAAACGAAAAAGGTAAGGTCATGTTTTAACATCTTTATTGGCTGGGAAAAAGCCATTGCCATTTACTCTGAAATAATTCAGGAAACAATCGAGGAGTAAAACATTCAATCAGAAATTTTGACAGAATCAGGAAAACTTCACTGTAACAGAAATTTCACTTCTTGCTCTGGATATTTGCTTTTCCTCTTCTGGTCAGAATTTACCAAGACTCTCTAATTTATCTTTGTTATTACCCAAAACTGATTTTCATTTGTAATAGTTGCTTTTCAGGAGTGATAGGGTGTTAAGGTGCACAGGAAAGTCTATTCCTACCTAAAACTCTCTTTCTCATAGGGACAGCCATTGTTTTTCTTTCCTTTTTTCCCCCTTTGGTCTCTTAATAACTTTCTTTCAGTGTTGGTGAGGGTGCTTCAACTGTAAAAACAACATAAAGTTACTATGGGAAATTTGGAAAATACATGAAAGTACAAAGAAAAAAACAACCATCACCCACAATTACACTACCTAGAGATAGCCACTGTTAACATTTGGCTCACCATATTTCCTTTCAGACTTATTTTGCATATGCTTGTGTTTTTAAACAAGATTGAGATCATATAGCATATGTAGTTTTGTGTCCTGTTTTTCACCCCAAAAATATTATATTGTGAACATGGCCCAATATCATGACTTGGAAACATGATTTTTAAGACTATACATTTCGTTGTACAGATATATAGTAATTTATTTGACTCTTTTTTTAACTTGGTCCTGTTACCATTTCACAATAGCAAATTATTAATACCTCAGGACATGCACAGTAGGTTAAGAAAAATTCAAATCTGTAAAGAGAATTTCTAAATAATCATATATGTAAATCTTAACTTTGAAAACACTTCCATATTATTTCAGTATATTCTCTAAACCAGTGGTATCATTGTCATCCCATATTGCTCCATTAGTTATATAAAAACTAGAGGCCCAGTGCATGAATTCGTGCACAGGTGGGGTCCCTCTGCCTGGCTGGTGATCAAGGCCTATCGGGGGACTGGCTGGGGGGAGGGACCCCAGGAGGTTGGCTGGCCGGCCCGACAATCGGGGCCTATTGGGGGGGGCCACTTGGAGGGAGGGGCTGTGGGAGGTTGGCCAGCCGCGGGAGGTTGGCTCTGGGAGTGCAATGACCACCAGGGGGTAGCTCCTGCATTGAGCATCTGCCCCCTGGTGGTAAGTGCGCATCATAGCGACTGGTTGACCAGTCATTCCAGTCATTTGGTCATAATGGTCGCTTAGGCTTTCATATATATATATAGTATGCTGGCCAGGCTATAAAGGCATAAAAATATATATATATATTTATCTCAAAGTAAATAGTTTATTCATTTAATTTATATTAATACCTCAGGTCAGATCTGCCATGTTCAAATTCAAAGGTTGGTAAAAAAGATAGCAAGGCCATGGAGTCTATCTCAAGAAAAGTAGCACCCAGAAAGCTTTATGCTGATGAGATTCTCTCAAACATCTCTGCCCTGGAAAACTCTGGCAGTCCTATAATGAAAAGAGTGAATAGTGACACAGAGGAAGAGCCAGAGTCTCCATCTCTCAGGAAGGTAAAAGAAAAATGTTGAGACACAACCATGTCTCAGTCAAGAATTCTCATCATCTGTCACCCTTTTGCAGTCTCCCTGCTCCAGCCCACCCTCAATATCCTGAAGATAAATAATTTTCTTACTTTTTGACAGTAGAGAGGTGAAACCAGTCTGCGATGGAGAAAAGACTAATTTATTTTATAGACCGTTAATACAATTCTTTTTTTATGAGGTTGTTGTTGTTTTGCTTAATCCCTTCACCAGAGTAATTTCTAACATAGTATATTCAAGTAGGGATTTGGATCACTTGTTTTAAAGAATAAATTATGATCGTGTATAGCATACATATCTTTGAATACAAATAATACGCTAGTCTATAGTTTGTTTTTTAAATAAATGTTCTTCTCATTTCATTTTTCAAATCTGTTTGGAAAATCATTTATTCATAGTGATACAATATAACTTTTATCCCCAAAACATCACAAGTTCCTTCATAGCAAAGTCACAGTTAATAACATCAAAATACCAACCTTTTACTAGATTGATGATAAGCTTCACAGAATGCTAACATTAAACTTTATGAAATCTACTGAGGATAAACACAATTTATTAGAAACAGAAGTATCTCAAATAATGAGTTTCAATTTTACATTTACATTAATATTTTATTCAAGCCTGTTTTGCTATTGCTGCTATTATTGATTTGGGAATATGAGTTTCTTAGTTAGAATTAGAAATCTAGGAGGAGAAATATTGTTTCTAAAAGTCACTATCTTAAGCTGTATAAAAGACTCTTTAGGACAGTAAAATTGGATGGGGGATATTGGGTGGATGTGTGGTGTGTGCAAAGCCCTGTGATGGGGGAAACATGGTGGCTTTAAGGAACTGAGGGCTGGCCAGTGTGGTTAGAGAGTAGCAGCCAGGGGGAAACAATGGCACAGGGTGAAGCTCGTGCTGAGGTTGAGAAACCCTGATGCAAAGGCTGCTGAAAAGTCTAAGAGCGACCAGGAGAGTATGGCATGAGGAAGGTACAAGAAGAAAGTGTCTAAGTAGGAAGTGGGATGAAGACTGAAAATGGCCATTGGCTTAAGGATGTGAGGATTTGAGTTTCTATGAAATGGTGATGTCAAGAGCTTTCAGGTAGGACTAAATAGGAGAATAAGAAAATGAATAAGAAAATGGAGGCAGCAAGTGTAGACAACTATAGCAGAGGTAAGGCGGGAGGGAGGAACAGGATGGGACTTTTTATATGTTTTAAGGATTAGAGACATTATTTTAAAATGCTTATATTCCTATCCAGTAGAGGGGAGGCTGTGAGGCAGTAGGGAGGAAAGGATGGGCATTAGCTGGGAAAAGGGGTGCACTTTTGTCACAGGAGGAGAGAAAGGAGAAGATGGGAGTCAAGCAGAATTGCCTGTAGAATCTGCCTTTGTCCTCTGTCTCCTACAACCCTGGTGTTAGTTTAAATGGCTCAGGTAGGGGAGTCAGAAGCAGATCACTGATCCCAAACTGTGTGCCTTTGGGGGAAGGATTCTGTTTTAGAGAATGCATTGGTCCAGTTGTGAAGGTTCTGGGTGTTTCATGAACCATCGCCATCAAAGTTAGGGTGACCACATTGGCCAAGTTTCTGAAAAGGGGCTATTCCCTGGAGCACTTAATGAGAACTTTTACTTTGAATAAACAGTACAGTTACTTTCCCCCCTCCAGTTTTCTTGCATGTTCTTTGGGGCAGTTTCTTCTGACTAGCGAGAACACTGCGACAACCCTTTCAATAGTCTGGCAACAGCAAGTGACAGTGACGAGGACATGAATAATGGCAGTTTTTACATATTCTAACATTTAATGACGGCTGAGTTACCCCACCCCCCACCCCATTTACTGACACACCTCAAACACATTTCACACTTAGTCTATATTGTCTTGGACTCCCTTGAAAAGCAGGATGGACTTCTGCTTTTCTAAACATCTTCATCTCGCACCACAACCATATGTAGAAATAGCTGCTTGTTAACTATATGTAATTTGCTTTAAGTCCATTATACGACTTGGAAAGCGGAAGTTTTCTGTGCAGGAAAAAGGCTCATTAGAATTCTTTTTTTTTTTTGCGCCCCGCCCCCCCGCCCCCAAAGATGTGCAAGTCCTAATAGCCAGAACCCCTCATTAGAATTCTTCAATGCATGTTCACATTAGAGCTTTTAGCATTTTCTTTGCCAGTTTTATAAAGGTATTTATTTTTTTATTTATTTAAATGTTTTATTGATTTTTTATAGAGAGGAAGGGAGAGGGATAGAGAATTAGAAACATCAATGAGAGAGAAACATCAATCAGCTGCCTCCTGCACACTCCCCACTGGGGATGTGCCCGCAACCAAGGTACATGCCCTTGACCGGAATCGAACCTGGGACCCTTCAGTCCGCAGGCTGACGCTCTATCCACTGAACTAAACCGGTTAGGGCTATTTATTTTTAAAATATATTTGTATTGATTTCAGAGAGGAAGGGAGAGAGACAGAAACATCAATGATGAGAGAGAATCATTGATCGGCTGCCTCCTGCACACCCCACAGATAGAGCCTGCAGTCCAGGCATGTGCCTATGGGGAATAGAGCTGTAACCTCCTGGTTCATAGGTCAATGCTCAACCACTGAGCCATGCTGGCCAGGCTATAAAGGTATTTAAACGTTCTTCAGCAGTCATTTGGAGTGCACCAATACTGCTTGTAGAGTTTCGTGACTAATAGGTATTTTTGTATTTGATTGCAAACATTTGAATTGTGGTGCTTTCAGACATAGTTATGCAGTCTTTTCTTGTGTAGTGCCATGATGTTTTTGGTCACTGCTTTTTATATTGTTATGATTTTAAGCAAAATCCCTGGGGGAGGGAGTCAAGAATAAAAATACTAGGTGTACCAGTTAATAATGTGGATTTTTTTCAATAGATGGAGTTACCCATATGTTGATATATGCAATTTGATATGTATCCTGTTTTGTTGTATTGACAAGCTTCAAAACTTCATACGTCAAATTTTCTGAAGGTGTTAGCATCACAGATATTTTTATGCTTAAAAATGTCGAAATTCGTGCCAAAAAAAGAGCATTTGAGGGAAGTTTTAATTCATTACTTTACTGTGAAGAAAAGTGCTGCTGAAAGTTATCGTATACTTCGGGAAGCTTATGGTAAACATGCTCCACCTCAAGATACTTGTGAACGCTGGTTTAAATGCTTTAAAAGTGATGATTTTAATGTGAAAGACAAAGAACATCCAAGTCAACCGAAAAAGTTTGAAGACTAACAATTACAAGCATTATTGGATGAAGATGCGTGTCAAACTCAGAAACAACTTGCAGAAACATTAAACATTGCTCAGCAATTTCCAATCATTTACAAGCAATGGGAAAGATTTTAAAGGAAGGAAAATGGGTGCCACATCAACTGAACGAAAGACAAATGGAAAACCGAAAAGTCATCAGTAAAATGTTGCTTCAATGGTACAAAAGCAAGTCTTTTTTGCATCGAATTGTGACTGGTGATGAAAAGTGGATTTATTTTGAGAATCCCAAACGCACAAAATCATGGGTTGATCCAGGTCAACTATCAACATCGACTGCAAGGCCAAATCGCTTCGGAAAGAAGACAATGCTTTGAGTTTGGTGGGATCAGGAAGGTGTGGTGTATTATGAGCTTCTAAAACCAGGTGAAACTGTTAATACTGATTGCTACCGACAACAAATAATCAATTTGAACCACACTTTGATCGTCAAACGACCAGAATATGCCAGAAGACACGGCAAAGTAATTTTGCTTCACGATAATGCACCAGCACACACTTCAAAACCAGTTAAAGACATGTTAAAATATCTTGCCTGGGAAGTATTAACCCACCCGCTGTATTCACCAGACCTTGCTCCTTCAGATTACCACTTGTTCCGATCAATGGCACACGCACTTTCTGAGCAGCACTTCAAAACGTACGAAGAAGTGGAAAATTGGGTCTCTGAATGGTTTGCCTCAAAACAAGAAAAGTTCTATTGTGACGGTATCCACAAATTACCTGAAAGATGGGGGAAATGTGTACCTAGCGATGGACATTACTTTGAATAAAGCACTTTGGATGTTTCTCTTGAAGTTATCGTGTTTTCTTTGATTACAAAATCCGCATTATTAACTGATACACCTGGTATATAGCTACCTCCCTCACTTTGGAGACTTTTTATATATTGTAAAATCTTATTTGTGATAGCTTTAAATTATCCTGATTTTCAGATGCAATTTTCTGTAGTGTAAGGCAAAAAAGAATTTAATGGAAGTGATGCCAAAAAGTTATTTCTGTATATCTGACATAGAGCACTTACTCCACTGTCAAAAAAGCCTGGATTTGGAGTGGAATGAGGTGGAAAATGAGCGTCTCTGTTCTTTGCCCCTTTAAGAATAATCTTGTTACCTGCACAGACTAAAATATCTGGCACAAAAGCATTCTTATGTAATATCTGATGATGTAAGCCTCTCCCTCCCCCACACCTGTTTAAAAGTCAATTATAACCTGACAAACTAGACTTCTGTAACATCTTATTGTTAAGTCTTTGTGAAACCACCAAATCCCAAAGAAATGTTAACTGGTAAGCAATTGTACTTCAGATTTTGTGAGGAATTCATAAACAAAGGTGGCTGAGTGGATCAGTCAACTTTAGAACTGTGAACAGACTTCTAACTAAAACCAGAATGAATTTGGCTCTTGTAGCTCAGTAATGAGTCAGAGCTACCCACAATAACCTAATAAAAACCCAGGTTCATCCCAAAATGTTCCTCAGTGAATGAAAATGGGCTTTTTGTGGAAACTGGCAATACCCACATAATTTCAAGCACATGTAGGCTAAAGATTTATGTATCTCATGCTTACACCGGTGACTAACACTGAATTTCACATGATACGCGGGCAACTATAGATCTCCTTGCAGAGGATGAAAGTTTTTGGCTCACTCTTGGAAATGGGCAAGGGGGGTTAGGTCCTGGAGACATCATCATCAGTATTGCCTGGATGCTGCACTAATCTGTAAAAGACAGTTATACTGTTAAACTGTATTTAATTTGGATTTTAGATACAGAATGCTAAATTTAAACGACACCAGATTTTTCTGTGCTTTCACTTCATACCATGTAGAAGATGCAAAAGCCTTCTCAGCTAGGAAACCATGTGTATTTTACATTGAATTATCAGTCCATTTTGATGAATTTTTGAGGAAGATAAACTGATGTAGTAAACCAGCTGGTGAAAAAGAGCTAACGCAGAGAACTAGTAAAAGACAAAATAATAGCTACAAAGTACGGAGTCACTGCTAGGCTGACTAAGAGGGTTGGAAATGAGGACTTGATAGAGACCAACAAACTTAGTGTCAGGGTTGGTGTCTTATTTAGTGACTATTTCAATTAAGAGGAGTACACAGATTAGTATAAATACTATATTTATTAAATATCTTTACAGTTTATTTAAATGTATTTACAGAACTATTCCTGCATAAGTTATATTTCAGACATCCAATTCAGGTCATTGCCTTTTGGGTAAGACAAATAATGATAGTCTCAACAGAAAAAAGCAGCTCATTAGTATATATAAATTCAAACTTGCTTCATTATTTAGCCATCTTTGCCACAAACTACCTGCTAACCGTTAAAATTTTGACATTGACACTGCCAATTTTTAGTTGAGAAGTTCAATTTTACAAATATTTTTTAATGAATAAAATTCAAATGTTTTGTTTCATATTTTCAGTTTTATAAGCAGATTTCGTTTTTTTGTTTGATATTGTAAAATTTGTTAAATGCAAAAATGTGATTGTTTCCAGGGAAATTTGATGCTGTAGCTTCTACCAAAGATAGCTGGTATAAGGTGACAAGGAACCAAGAATTTATTCCAAAGTACAAACACTTATAGTTCTAGTCAATCTTGTTTACAATCTCCAAAACTCTCAAAAACGGACTCAGTAAATTCCCACAATTCCTGCCTTGTTACTTGATGTGGTAGGATGGTGGTACTGAAGGTGGTACTGAAGGCTACTGTTCTATCCAAAACAAATGTAGCTGATAGGAGAGACACTCCCATCATGCAAAGCTTGAAATCTAGTTGCTAATCTAGATACAGCCCAACCCCCAGACATACACACCTGGAATGGATTCTTTTGTGATTTAGTACCCATCGACCATGTCAAGCCAGTACAGTAATTCAGGACAAATAACTTGTTTTCCCCTTCATTTCTTCTTTCACTTTTTAAGAGCCTAGGGCTCTACTGCATATCCGTTCGGTAAATATTTTTTGTGCGCAGGCAGCTTAAGTTCACAGGAAGAAATAAGGTTCTGATATGTTTAGAGTGCACATTTTAAAACAGAACAAAATAAAAATTTCAAGCATGTGATAAAAATATTGATTTTTTATAATACAGTATTGCTTTATAAATATAGATGGAAAAGCTATAAACTTTACTGGTCTTTGGTGCATCCAGAGAGAGATAATTTGCCTTTTGTAAATTAGAAATCCAAATTCTCTTTTGTTATAAAAGTCCATTACATGAGGCAAATGTGTGTGTGTGTCTTTTTTATACTGCTTGATTTAAAATACAATTAACACACACATCAAGTTCAGAATCAGACCCACCAAGTGGCATATTTCAGTCATACCCCACAGAGACTTGGGTCCTGTGACTGGAAAATTCCAGCATGGGTCCAACAGCCTCTAACCACTGAGAATGGAAGGAGAGTTACTAGATAAGCAGCACTCCAACTGACCACTGGCAGCCAAAAAATTAAGTGCATAACACAAAAAGGACAGGGAAAAGAGAAAATATT